GTTATATCTGTGTATATAAAAGTTCTTTTTGTAGTTGTCAGGATAAGTTGGGTTTTTTTTTATAAAGAAAATTCATATACTACTGAATAAAACTCCAGTTACATATCTCTTCAAGATAAACAAACGTTTATTATAATAGAAGAAAAAAATTAATTCACATGTATTTAGACTTTCCCATAAAAAAAGGATGATAATAATAATAACAACACAATTCTAATGATTATTTCTATGTAGGTGACTGTTTTCGTGAGAATGTACACCCATCCATCCAACCACCCATCAATCCATACAAACATACATGCATACATCCATCTATCCATCCATCCATCAATCCATACACACATACATACATAAATACATGAATTTATTCACTTATTCATACAGAATTTTAAGTTAATGGTTAATTTCTTATCCAATTCCCTTATGTAACTGATTGTTATAAAACAAACTAGATTTAGGACAATTAAAAGAGAAATGATTTATTTAACTTGTCATACCAATTCTATTATTGTCTCCAACATGACACCCAAAATACTATTTATTCGCCTTGAATCACTTCATGCCTATCTATCTATCTATCTATCTATCTATCTATCTATCTATCTATCTATCTATCTATCTATCTATCTATCTATCTATCTATCTATCTATCTATCTATCTATCTATCTATCTATCTATCTATCTATCTATCTATCTATCTATCTATCTATCTATCTATCTATCTATCTATCTATCTATCTATCTATCTATCTATCTATCTATCTATCTATCTATCTATCTATCTATCTATCTATCTATCTATCTATCTATCTATCTATCTATCTATCTATCTATCTATCTATCTATCTATCTATCTATCTATCTATCTATCTATCTATCTATCTATCTATCTATCTATCTATCTATCTATATAGACATTCACTTATAAATCTATTTAAAACTTACTAGAATCTTATCTAATCTTTTAAATTGCAGTTATTATGTACATGTAACAAATCAATCAAAGGGTATCAGTTGTATAAATGTAGTGTCCTTACGTTTTGTATTATTCTGAATTGTAATGATTATTATGCAAAACTTTTCATAAAATCATTATTTAAGTTTAAAAAAATGTGACAATCAAACGACTATTGATTTTAGATTAATATTGTGAATATATCAATGTTGGACCACCACTGAAAACCTAGAAGCAGTGAACGGCAGTTTCGTCTTGATATGAGACACATCTGCAACGCGCATACACGATCCTACAAGCGGGATTCAAACTCAGGATATTCAGTTTCGCGTGAGAACGCCTAACCTTTAGACTACTGTGCCGAAATCAGAACGGCATTAATGTCTAACTTCAGCCAATCCAAGACATTGAGCGACAACTTCCGAATGCCTTCAGTGAGCAACTGCGCACTGTTGAAGAGTTCCATACTAGGACGAAACGGTTGTCCATTGCTTCTAGATTTTCCATGGTGGTCTAGCTTCGGTCGAATCATGAATTCAGCTATTAAATTTGAATGTGATCATTATTCTAAGGCAATCTACATCAAAATAGACTATATTTCGATGTTAATGAAAATCTTTAATTCAATAACTGTGCAACATCTTCTAATACTTAATGAATAAAACCATTCTATTTAAGTGTCATCCGAGCATGATATGGTTCAATTCTCCTTGAATATTTGTAATTTACAACAATAATTTATCATTTTATAAATTTGAACACTGTGTATATTCTGTTAGTAGACTTTAAAAGTTCCAAACGATAGACATAGGCATCATGTAAGAAGTCATCATGTAATTTAATCAAACTTCGAGTTGTTTTACTCTTACATTATTCATTATCCAAGATGTACTTGACAAGAAAAAAAACATCCAAATACATTAAGAAGTATGCTAAGAAACTTTATAATTATTTTCATTTATGATACACAATAGCTGTTATTCGATGAAAGAAAACTTCTAATTCAATAGCCTATATCAGTATCTCCATTTTAATAATTAACATGTTTACACACTGGTATGTAAAGCCAACAATAATGTTGTATTCCGAAGAGAATCATGAATGGGAACTTTGAGAACTATTTATGGACCAATGTAATATGTATATTTCCTATTGTATAATTGTTAAGTAACTAAAGTATTCATATTCGTGTTCCTCTTATCATTTGGTTTATTTTGACCTATGAACTATTATTATACGATTCTTGAGTTATCATCAGTCTATTGATTACTTTCCCCCTATTAACAGCCACATTTGGCTAAATCTTGTACAAATATTATTTTGTATTTTATGGTACGATGTGGTCTGTTTGGTTGGTATATAAACCCAGTATGTTTGAGAATAATGAATCATATTGAAGAGGCTGTTATTGGTGTTGTGGACTTAACTGACTGGTCTAGGCAGAAAGCAGGACTGATAAATATTCAAGACTGCTCATGCAGCTTTTGTGTATCACTGGACGATCGATCGATAAATCACTGCTCTCTAATTGGCGGTCATATTTCGTTCGTATATCAAACAGGGCTTACACACACACTCATACGATATAACAAATAATTTTAGCAAAACTTCATAACAGTGAAATGTATCTCTGAGATGAGATGGAAATTACTGAATATATTTAATGATTGCATACTATCAGCGAAATAGTCGAAATTAGAAATGCAAATCATCTGATTACGACCTAGTTAGTTTGAAGATCTATTATATTTTATATAGTTGAAATCATGAATCAGTTGAAGCTAAATCAATATGGGAAACCTGGAAGCACTGGATGGCTAACTTGTGGACTCCTCAGCAGTGCGCATCTACGACCCCCCCCCTCGCGAGTCCCACAATAGGACGAAACGGCCGTTTAGTGCTTTCAGGTTTTCCATGGTGATCTAGCTTCAATTGACTCATGATTTCAACTTTATAAATTTACTTAAGCCTCCACAAAACCCTCTTCTGATAATGATCTATTATATGTCAGTTGACGTGAAGGTCATGTATTTTGAATTCCATTTGCATTTATAGGTGCTTACTCTTAAAGGGTCTCACATGAGAATTGCACAATTTTTCAATATATTTCTCGGTTATCAAATGATGACACCATTGAAATTAGTTTAAGATAAAACTTAACTTTGAAACAATTAGTTTTCCCTTTTCAACTTGGCTTTTGTTTCTTTCCTAAGACAAAAATTTACTTTTCATAGAGATATATTACTTCATTATTATACTTACAAAATCATTATACTTTATAAGACTACAAATAAATTTCATTACATGTTAGTTTACTGGAAAGAAGAGTGTCATATTTGACGTAAAGTTATTATCGACTAATAGTTCATGAATACCATATCAGTAACATTCAACTATCTCCGAAAACCTCCTATATTTATAGCAATCATGTGTTTACCGATGACTCGTTTTGAGAAGTAGTTCTTGGAATTCTAGTGGGAAGTTGTGACCAGTATCGTTCAACCGTGTTGAGTGTTGATCAGTTAAAACTAACAACACTGGAGAATGTTTGTACAATATAGCAAATCGATTGAAGTTAGATGACAACCCAAGGATCTAAATTTTAAAAGCTCACTGCGAGACCTAAAGGTTCTTCGTTTCATCCCCGATAGAGTGGTGGATAGACATTACTGAAGAGACCTATACTAGTTTGAAACAGCTATTCGGTTAATCTTGATATTTAACAGTTGTTTTACTAAGGTCAGTTTACAATCTATTAAATCTACTTGAATTTGGGCGTTTTAGTAGTATCATTAGCCTTTATACAAATAAACTATTGCTGAAAGTCGAATAGTTAACATAACATTCTATAAAGGAGTCATAATTTTCAAGTTGATATCAGTTGAAGCATTATAATAGAATATTCATTGCTTAAAAAAAGTAAAAAAGATAAGTTCATTATAGATTAGTTCAATTCATATTTCGATTCATATAAAAAGAGATCCATCTAATTCATTATCAATTATATAGAGTTGAGATCATTAGTCAGTTGAAGCTAAACCACCATGTAAAACCTGGAAGCAGTGGACCGCCGTTTCGTCCTATCATGGGACTCCTCAGCAGTGCGCATCCACGATTCCGCCTCGCGAGATTCAAATCCGGTGCTTCCAGGTTGTCCATGGTGATCTAGTTTCAATTGACTCATGATCTCAATTCTATAAAATTACTAAAATCTCCACAAAGCCCCTTCTGAACATTATCAATTAGTCAATATTTTCATAACAAGATCAAATCAGTTGTCACCGATACATTGAAATTAGATTATACTTTCAAATTAATCAATCTATGATTTGCTACAGTGTATTTTTACTTCATCTAATATTAAACTTTAAATAAGACAATGAAAGAGTATTTGTAAATCACTCTAAATGAACAAATAGGGAATTGTATCTTGAATTTTCACAAAAGTAGATGATCTATTCCTATTATTCTCAGTTATCAGAATCCTTATGAAAAGTCATAACAAACATCTGATTGTGAAGAAAGAAAAAGTTGATCTTAAAACTGATTCTTTGATTGATTTAATCAAAGCGTTGGCACTACAAAAAATATAGATGGGTTACAGTTAGGAAATCTGTCAGTTAGTAAACTTTTAAACTTATGAAATTTGATCATAGATATCTTTGAAACATTACTTGGGTTTTGTAAAACGAGAGAGATCATGAACTGATCAATATTAGACCGCCATTGAAAACCTGAAAGCACTAGATTGTCATTTCGTCCTAGTAATAAACTCCTTGGCAGCGCGCATCTACGATCCCGCACGTGGAATTCGGTTGGAATCTTGTATGCGGGATCGTGGTTGAGCACTAGTAATGAGTCGCATACTAGGACGAAACGGTCGTCTGGTGCTTCCAGGTTTTCAATGGTGGTCTAACATTGATCAATTCATAATCTCAATAAAAAAAAGTCAGTAATCAATTGAACTTATAAAAAGAAAGTATATTTTTAGTACTAACTTTATTTTAATAATATCTTCTCCTTCTTTTTATTGCTACATTTTAGAAGATCAAGATACTGATCCATTTCTATTAACTAAAAATGTAACCCTTCAAAGAAATACAGATATTCGCACATATTATAATGTCGGAGTTTATTTGGGCAGGTTAGTACTAATTGTGATTTATATATACATCGTGTTTTGGAAGTTTATTACCTGCTGAGGAGTCCCATAATAGAACGAAACGGCTGTCCAGGGCTTCCAGGTTTTCCATGGTAGTCTAGATTCAATTGACTCATGTTTTCAGGTTTGTAAGGGACTCCTCAAGAGTTCATACTCATAAAAATTCTAGAATAATTTCATAGAGTTCATTTCAATTCCAAGTGTGATAATGTTGTGTAGAAGAATAATAAGGTGTTTACAATTAATTTATTCAGTTCAGAGGACGTAACACTATCAAGAAAGTAAATCTATATTTTGACTAAAATCTGATCCTAGGATTACGGATAACATAGGAACTATGATATAGTGGGTGAATAGAAATTATTTGTCCTTTTTGTCATACTATACTATTATTATACGATGATACAACCGGAGCCGTGATGTATACTAACATTAGGCTAGATATTCGATCGATACGTTATACCCAGACTGGATCACGTCTTATAAGATATAGGGTTAACGACCAAAAATAAAGAACCAGAGTATGGGATAGATAATACTTTGTTCAACATAATTACAAGTAGTTTACACTCAGTTAACCCAGAGTGAAAATTGATAATAAGAATGAAATTGCAAGTCAAATAGCCAGTTAGTCTAGTGTCTGTACATCTACACTCAGTGACCAACTATATTTGTTTCTTCTAGCCACATATCAAACTACTGATAGCACATTTTTATTTAACGAAGAGTGATTTTCCTCGGTTTATTTGTTACTTGTCTCCTTGAGCTAGTTTTTATCACGAGTTAACTTTATTTGGATAGCTAATAAGAACCCGAAAAACATGTCAACTGTTTTATCGCAGTAAAGAATTCCTTAGAAGCGTAACCATATGATTTTACTAGCAATTAAACCCAAGACCTTCAGATTTTGACTTTTACACCACTGTGCTGGAATCCAATAACTCACACTTATAACTCCAGTAAACTTTGGTATTTAGAATATTCATTAGTATAGGTGAATAAAAACAAACGAACAAATTCGACCATGCTGGCTTTCACTAAATTCCGAAAAACATGTTTATTCTGAATATGAAAAAATGCATCTTGATATTTTGCTTAAATTAATTATATTTGAATTGATGCACTTATAGAATACCAGTTAGTTAGTGCTTAAGTATTTTACACTACAGATGAAGACTTTAACAGCAATAGGAGTGAGATTATTTTTACATTAATGTTGTAACGACACAACAATCCACCGAAGATAATGGGAAATGGTCAATCAATGTCATGGATTTGTTGAAGTTAGATATTAACACCGTTTGATTCCGGCTCAGTGGTCTAGAGGTTTAGCGTTGGTGCGCGAAACCTGGGTTTGAATGCCGCGTGTTGGATCGTGTATGCACGCTGCTGATGTGTCTCATATCAAGACGGAACCGCCGTCCACTGCTTCCAGATTTGTGATGGTGGTCTGACATTGATCGGTTTATGATCTCAAATAAACAATCTTCATGACCGTTTACTGACAATTTAAACATTTCAATGTATCGAATACATACCAACAGATTGAAATGACATGAATTTACTATAAACAAAGTGAAAATTATTCATAGTTGAAAGCAATAGTCAATTGAAGCTAGGCCACCATCGAAAATCTGGAAGCATTGGACGTCCGTTTCGTTCTATTATGGGACTCCTCAGCAGTGCGCATCCACGGACCCGCTCTCGCGAGATTCGAACCCAGGACCTACCAGTCACCAGCTCAGTGGTCTATCGATTAAGGGCTTCGGCTCGAGACTGGTAGGTCCTGGGTTCGAATCTCGCGAGAGCGGGTTCGTGGATGCGCACTACTGAGGAGTCCCATAATAGAACGAAACGGCCGTCCAGTGTTTCCAGGTTTTCCTCGGTGGTCTAGCTTCAATTGACTCATGCTTTCAACTATGAAACATACCAAATCTCCATAAAACCCCTTTTAATAAAAATTATTTATTTAACATATGGTTTTGTGATTACTCCGGTATTCTCTTCTCATTTACAATCAATTTGCTTTAAATAAATTCCGACAAATTGTCTTCAGTATTTAAAATAACATAATACTTATCATTTTTCAACTGATACACTTGTTACTTATCGCAATCCGATAGAGTCCAATTGAAAGAAGCAAATGTTTTCTACACAGTACATATTTCAAACATTTAAAGAAAATGACTTAAAGGTGATTTAAATGAAGTTAACCGGAGAGTCGTTGGAAATCACGATAAGCTAAACATATATTTTATTGTATTAAGGGACTCAGCAGTAATGAATGCTAATAAATAGACAGAAGTTGGGAATTTAAACCATTGGATATCAACTCAATAGCTTATAGGTAATGCGTTCACTAAGGTATCTGAAGATTCAACTTCGATAGATGGTATGATATTACAATAAAAGTTGTATAAAGTACTCTATAGATCTACAAATCGAACAGTTTTCATGAGCCCGTAATATGTAGCACTCAATCGTGTCAAGAATAAGACAGCTATGATTGATAACGCTGAATAAAGGTCACATTATATTGTGAATTAGAAAGTAGATCTATGAGAACAAACAAAAGAGTCATCCAATGGTTGATTAGCTATAGTCGGTTTATGGTGATGTTTAGTTAGAAGTGTTTGACGAGTTTGTTGTATTCTCCGTTATTAAGAAAGATACTATAGTGAGAGAATCCAACTTGAATTATCCTTTAATAGTTGTATTGTGTTTCCAACTAAATGTTTTTTTAGACGCAAACAAACGTTAAGATATCTGTAGTTAAACAGTAAATACTTTATCCGTTGTTAGGGTGTCACTTGCTTATTTACGCTTATTACCAGTCATGGAGGAGCATAGGAAACTCATCAGCGTTCCCCATCAAATTCTGTAATGGAAAATCCTTTCCAGTTATTTCCAGTTGATATTCATCCTTTTCATGTCTGCTTCCAATTCTCAGCACACTGTGTTCATTGATCTTCCACTTTTCCGTTTCCCTTCAGGATTCCAAGTAAGAGCTTGTCTTGTGATGCAGTTTGATGATTTCCTCAATAAGTGTCCTATCCACTTACAATGCTTTTTCCTAATTTCCTCTTCATCTGGGATCTGGTTTGTTCCCCCTCACAGTAGACTAATGCTGATGATATCCGCTCAACAGACATTGAATATCTTGAGTAGACTATTATTTGTAAATACTTGAACTTATTCAGTGGCGGTTGTGGTAGTTCTCGAAATTTCAGCTCCATACAGTAGAACTGTCTTGACATTCGTATTGAGGATTGTGTCTTTGATGTTGTTTGACAGTTGTTTTGAGTTCCATATGTTGTTTTATTGTGAGAATCCTGTCCTTACTTTTCCAATCCACTTATTATTATCTTAGAAATACATGTCGTCGATAATACATACAGTTTTGCAAATATACAGTATTGTTTGTTTGAATCTTCCCATCGATGTGTTAGGACTGCAACTGGTCAGTCTCTAATTGGTATATGTGCATACTGTGTGTATTGCCTTGATATAGCCTTAATTCACAAGCATTGTAAGCAAAGATGGCTAGTGGCTAGTAGTGGAATCCAGGAAGCGCTCCACTTCGTCCTATTCAAGACTCGTCAGCTGGATGTATCTGCGTCTCAGAGTTGATGTTCACTCTGATACTCGAACCCAGTACCTTTCGCTTCAAATGTCATCGCCTTATCCACTCGGTCACTGAGTCCTGATAGCCAGTTGCTTGTCCGATGGGGTGAAGTTTAATTTCATTTAGTATTGTTTGTTTGAATCTTCTCACTGCTAGCCACTATCCATCTTTTTCTTACAATGTATATTTTAACTGAAATAGTTCAGTCATAGTCAATAATATAGATTGTACATACAAAATTGAGAAATTTCCCTATTTTCACTCCTTTTTTTGTTCTTCATTTAAAAGTTAAGCTTTCAAATGATATTTAAATAAAATGAATGAATATAGGGAACTATGGAACATTCCTACTTTCACATGATCAATCCTATTCTATATATATATAGACACTATTCCATTAGGATTGTTATAAACAATAGGAAAAAAGTGTTCATTCTTCTGTTCATCTTTTCACACTACATAAATATTATATAGGATCAATTCTGTTTTGGGCATCAATATGTTAAGTAAAATGGCAAAGATGAAGCATAATGAATCGTTTTTAAGAAAGAAAGAAAAAAACATTAGTTTTGTATAAAATAAAGTAAAATCATTCAATAATATGAAAAAGAGGTAAAATTGGTTAAAGTTAGACATTAACACTATTGGATGCCTGACAGCTCAGTGGTCTAGAGGTGAAGCGTTTGCGCGCGAGGTCAAAGGTTCTGAGTTTGAATCTCGTGTGTGAAATTGTGGATGCACATCCCTGTAGAGTCCTAGACTAGGACGAAACGGCTGTCAACTGCTTTCAAGTTTCCCATGGTGGTCCAGCTTTAATTGACTCATGAATTCAATCATAAATTAATTTTGTTTGTAGTATTTTTCAGATGGCGGAGAATACTCGTATATCAATATGTACATTTTTGAGGTGTTATTTTCTGAGCTGAATTGATTTCATTATGAAGTTCTCATTATCTTCTAGACAGTATTACCAAAACATATACTTCGAAGGGAAATAAGCTATTTGAATTTATCCACAGTTCACTAATAGACAAGCAATTAGATGTTACAAAAGTCTGAATAATAACTGAAGAAATTCCGGATCAGTAGAATAGACTATGTTAACCGTGGATAAATTTGAAAAGCTCATTTCTAATTGTCATTCCTGAGTGCTGTTAGAGGTATGAGGGCGGTTCTCAATTCCCGGTTGCCCACACCGTGGAAGGGTTCTTCTAGAGGTATCTGGAAACGGAATTGAGTTAGGAGTGGTCTTAATGACCTGAGAGCGTGACCGCGATGCCTAAGGGACAACTGCTTGAGGTCGGTCACACACGACCTTTTGGTGGGTATTTTCGTGTTAGCTCCATACTTGTTGGGACCTCACCGCCGGAGACGGATATCCGTGGGATAAGGCGAGGTGTGCATTTTTAGGGTCGACCTTTTCTAACCCCATCCCCCCTTGTGGGAAGACAGCGTCGCTGTTATGCTGGTTGTCTGAAGGAAACACTTTACTGCCGTCACACCTCTGTACAGTCAGCAGTACGACTTCGCCTTCGGACCTTGGGTTTGTTGCTTTTAGTCTTACCGCTCTTCAAATGGCCTGTCTGGCATGGTAGGACCTCGAGGAACGATTGTCCCAGTCAGTATAGCTCGATTGGTTCATCACGATAGGCAAGCCCGATTACCAAGCCAAGGTAGCAGCAACGGTCTGGATTTCTGCTTGCGGTTTGTGTTGATGTTGATGTCTTAAAGGATAATCAAGGGTTTACAATTAAACCACCCATCGCAGAGAATACAAAACCACCAAAGTATTTGTGAAATTTGTTCAAAAGAAGGACAGTTTTTATCGCATATAGACATGAATGAAGAATCATTCTGAACTAGCAATTACTAGACAACTGTATCTTTTTCTATACTATAAAGCACAACTTGACAACTGGACACAAAGTTCAAACTCTAGGTTATTAAGAAAAACTTGGAATAAGCATGGCATTTTCGAACTTCTGTTTTGAGACCTAATTGTTCATATTTTTGGTTTCAATCAATTCACTATATCACGCAACTCCCACATAATACAGTGGTGTGTGCTACTGATATCGATATATATAAGTAATATGTATCGCAAATAGAAAGTAAAATGCCTAATGGCAGAAGGTTAAGAAGATCGAAGAAAAGAGAACGAGATCAGAGAATGATTACTGTGGAAGCGAAGAAACAGACAAGTTTGAGACAATCGATTGACTGATATTTTGCAAATGAAGTAATTATTGTATGGTTCCCAGATTTTACTAAAAGATACTGTAATATTGTGTTCTGATACATTCAATTGTGGACCAATATGATATGTATATTTCCTATTGTATAAATGTTAAGTGACTAAACTATGCATATTCATGTCCCTCTTATTATAAGCTTTATTTTGACATAAACTATTATCATACGATTTACCATTCTTGAGTTATCCCTAGTCCATTAATTACTGTTTCCTCTAATCACAGTCACATTTGGCCAAATCTTGTACAAATGTTATTTTCTATTTTATTCTATGATGTGGTCAGTTTGTTTGGTATATAAACCCAGTGTGTTTGAGAATAATGATTTCTATTACAGAGGCTGTTATTAGTGTTCTGGCCTTAACTGACTGGTCTAGGCAGAAAGTATTACTGATAAGTACTCAAGACTGCTCATATGGCTTTTGTGTATTATTGCTCTGATTGATAATTTACTCCTCTCTAATTGGTGGGAAACGTCACCTCATATACTAAACATAGCACGCACATCAATTGATATAACAATTACTCACTTAATTACTTACTTACTTACGCCTGTTACGCCCAATGGAGTATGTGCCGCCGACCATTAGGTTACGTATAACCCAACAATTGCACTAGTTTTTCGCATATAAACTAATCTTCAAAATGAATATTTTTTCATTCTTTTTATCCTCTACTTTCTCTTTGGGATTCAAGAGTAAAAGATTTCGAAGAATAATGAGGTTTCCGAAAAATTACTGTCTAAACGTTCAAATACAAGACTTATCACACGGTAGTTAAGATTAGTAGTTATTTATATTTTGAAACCTATATTAGATAAGACATTAAATAGGAAGAATATATTTGTAAAATCTCAGCCAATGAATTTGAAGTAAATCCAACGTTTCGCCTGGCGATCTCGTCCAAGCTTTTTCAAGGAAATATATATTTAATGTCTTACATCAACTCGGCGTCCAAATACTGTGAAAATATTGGCTCTAATTTAAACGAAAGTTCTTATACCTTATTATATAATATTGAGGTAATTTGGTTCAAACTACTAATAATAGTAATAAAAACAAATGATTATATTATAAGCAAAATGGATAGTGGTTAGCAGTGGAATCAAGGACGCGCGTCACTTCGTCCTATTCAAGACTCGTCAGCTGGATGTATCTGCGTCTCAGAGTTGATATTCACTCTGGCAGTCGAACCCAGTGACTTTCTCTTCAAACGCCATCGCGTTATCCATTCAGGTACTGAGTCCTGATAGCCACTTGCTTATGCGATGGGATGAAGTTTGAATTCACTTGGTATTGTTTGTTTGAATCTTCCCATCGATTTGTTAGGACTGCAACTGGTCAATCTCTAATTGGCATATGTGCATACTGTTCGTATTATCCATCTTTGCTTATCATGTGTAAAAGCTGTTTTCCATCATTGATATTGTTGACTAAATTATAACCAATATTTGTGTTAGGAATGCCTGGATATATTCATTTTAGTCAAGTTAGCGGCTATCTGGATTCATTAACTAAGAGAATACTATATTGGGGTTTTGGATTGAAAGGTCTTGTGTTCGAGTCCCAGTCCTAAACATAACACTAGCATATTGCAGGTATATCCAATTGTCAAGTTTCAAATAAGATGAACAATTTATCCTATATTTGATTTCTAGCTACTGTTCATTTATTCTAAATAACATTTCTTACTTATTCTTCCATTTATACGGTGCAGTACGAACTGCTCATATTCACTATTAATAACATTATTAATTCTATTTTAGATTTACATAATGACAAGCATGAATACAAAGACTAGTGTGCATACATTTTGTTGTCTATATTGACATTTTAATCATTGTCAATTGAAGTGGCTGAAAGTCTAAGCACATTTGCATACTTATATGTATATATCTATATATTAACCAAAACTTGGAGTGTCATAGTAACATTGTTAAAATTAGACATCAGTTAGTCTAACCATTCGGTACATTGATGTTAGCGCATATGTTATCTTTTTTATCCATTACGAATTAGTAATTATAAGTAAGATTTTTATATATATATATATATAACTTAAATCGGTATTAAATGGTAATAAACGTTATTCTGAATAGTTCCAGTGTACTGTATAACCTCAGTTATAATTCATGACCAAATTAAACATATAAATCAATTCGCAGACAATTTAAGGTAAAAGATTCTTTGAAAAATAGGCGCAACTACTACCGAACTACCAAATTCTTCATCTTATTTTTTTTGTATGTGTTTTTATAAACACTAAAATGTCATTCAGTAGAAGAGGAAGAAGCAATACATATATATGTATATATTCTTACTGGAACTCTTTCAGCATGGATTAATTCGGAAAAAAAAAGCATATTACAACTTCACTGTTGGAATGATTATTGGATGACATTGTAGTTAATAGACAAAATTTGTAAATTGATTATGTAATTTATGGTAAACTGTATTTTGTATGTCCTTTCTTAATGTTATATCGTGTGAGTGCGTGTATTCTTGCCCAGTTGTTATACCGATTGCTTGAGTGTCCAGTTATTATATGACGTCGCCAGTTGTTATTATCGTGTAGGTGCGTACGTGCCCCGCTTGATATATGAACGTAATATGACCGCCAATTAGAGAGCAGTGATTTATCAATCGATCATCCAGTAATACACAAAAACTGCATGAGCAGTCTTGAATATTTATCAGTCATACTTTCTGCCTAGACCAGTCAGTTAAGTCCACAACACCAATAACAGCCTCTTCAATATGATTCATTATTCTCAAACATACTGGGTTTATATACCAACCAAACAGACCACATCGTACCATAAAATACAAAATAATATTTGTACAAGATTTAGCCAAATGTGGCTGTGAATAAGAGGAACAGTAATCAATAGACTGATGATAACTCAAGAATCGTATAATAATAGTTCATAGGTCAAAATAAACCTAATGATAAGAGGGACACGAATATGAATAGTTTAGTTACTTAACAATTATACAATAGGAAATATACATATTACATTGGTCCATAAATAGTCCTCAAAAGTTACCATTCATAATTCACCACGGGATATAACAGCACCTCCTTTTTGAAAGATCCGGAGTTGATATCCGGATTTTAAATTTCCTGAATTTATCTTCCTCCAGAAAATAATATTGGATCCTCATATACCGAAGTTACCAATAATGTGACATTATTTAAAACATATTTGCCGCATTTCACAGAGAATCCACGATAAGTGACTAGATCATGAGGATCAACGACATTTGATTTGAGGTCATCAGTGTCTAATTCTTCTGAAACAGTTTCCTTGAATTTATTGGGAACCTCATTAGCAGATAATGAATCATTGGGTTAATCAATATCTATGAAAATTGTATTGGATTCTTGGTTATTATTTAATGCATCCGAACGCATCAAGAATGGTAAATCGTATAATAATAGTTCATACATCAAAATAAAGCTTATAGTAAAAGGGACACGAATATGAATAGTTTAGTTATTTATCAACTATACAATAAAGAGTATATGCATAGTATTGGTCCATAAATGGATTCCAAAGATACCATTCACTATTCTTATCGGGGCATAACATTAAGTATAAGGAAAAAAAACACCTATTATATCATAAAAACAAGAGTTTCACCCAATATAGGGTACTATTTTCTATGATTGTTATAAATTCGCCCATATATATCATTGTTTAGAATGTAAAACATATTACTTTAATCAGAAGGGTTTTTTGTGGAGTTTTAGTATTTGTCATAGTTGAAAGCATAAGTCAATTGAAACTAGATGACCAAGGAAAACCTGGAAGCACTGGACGGCCGTTTCGTCCTATTGTGAGACTCCTCAGCAGTGCACATCCACAAAAAGAAAATTTTAATTTTTTTGTGTTTGTTTACTATAGTGGAAAATTTGGTGAAGTGAAAAGATGTCAAGAAAAAAAGACTGGAAGAGAATTTGCTGCAAAATTTGTTCCAATCGCTAGTGAAGAAGATATGAATAGTGTATTGAATGAAATTGCTGTTATGAATACATTAAGACATCCAAGATTAATTCAATTGTATGATGCTTATCAAATTGATGAAGAAGTTACACTTGTTCTTGAATTGTAAGTTAATGTATAGTTGATCTTGTTTTGAATGGTTTTTATTTCTATAAATAGATTTCGATGGTTTATTTTACAGACTAACCTTAATTAGACTGGAAAGAAATAAGCGTTGGTCATCTGTTCCATCTTAGATTGAGACTTCTCAGGGGCAGTGCATATCCACAACATTACAGGGGATCTAACCCAAGACGTTCCAAGTTTTTCGGTTGGGACTTAACCTATAGATTACTGATTCAACATGCGATGGTTTACATGTCTAAGTTTAGTCATTTCATGATACTGCACAACCATCTTCCGTCTTACGATAGAATTTTTAGATGAATCAAGAAAATTTTGAGAAAGCTTTCAGAAAACCATATAACAGATATAATAACTTAGGAACTTTCAGAGGTAGATTGTACATTCACACGAATTTGCTAAGTGACAATGTTATACAGTAGAAGACATCAAAGATTCATCAGTATGCGAGTTGTAGTGGTCAAACATGTCGCTTGTCAGAAAGATATCCACCAAAGATAGTGGTGGGAGATAGTTGCACAATATCACTGACTGATCGGGGTTAGATATTAACACAGTCAGATGTTGGTTTGAAGGTCCAGTGGTTAGTCGTTTGCACTTATAACTCAATGTCTTGTGTTTGGTCCTCGGTGTCAGGGTTGTGGATGTGCACTGCTGTGGAGCATTGTACTAGAGCGTAACATCTGTCCTGTGCTTCCAAGTTTTCAATGGTTATCTAGCTTAAATTTTTTCGTGATCTCATTCAAATGATAATCATTCAGTTTATCATTGTATTTACTCAAGTTTTTATTCACTGAACTTTTGAAATAGGTTATTCACTCACAGTATATTGGTGAATCACATGTAACTTACTATGTAACAATAAATTCACTTATTATTACTTGTTTGATTCTTCCCATTGATGTCTAGGACTGCAATACGCATAGTATGCACATTTGCCAATAAGAGACTGACCAGTTGCAGTCTTAAACATCAATGGGAAGATCCAAACAAACCATATCAAGTGAATTTAAACTTCATCCTATTGCACAAGCAAGTGGCTATCAGGACTCAGTAGCTGAGTGGATAACGCTATGGCGTTTGAAGAGAAAGTCACTGGGTTCGACTGCCAGAGTGAACATCAACTCTGAGATGCAGGATCATCCGACTGACGAGTCCCGAATAGGATGAAACGTGCGCCCTGGATTTCACTGTTAGCCACTATCCATCTTTGCTTATAATGTCACATTAAGTTAATAGGTGAATTATTTAGTAACCCAAGTGAACAATAAGCAATTATCTGAGAATATAAGTTGAATGATACCTCATTGAATTCAGTCTCCAATAGATTAACCTAATTTCTCAGATTGCAAAAATAGTTTCAAAATGAAATTCATCACCTGTCTACAATTTTTGTACACAAGTTTTTTTCTCCTATTTCAATGTAGAGAATATTGAAACATTTTGTTTTAATTATCTATTTTAAAATATGGTAACATTTTGATAAAAGGTGGGAATTTAAATTTATTAATTGAATTTCATTTGTTTATTCATATGGTTACATTTTATTCATTATTAAAATAATTTTTAAAAGAAAACTCGTTTCTAATTAGTTTTAATGAATGATATTCATTAAATCACTAGTAATTTATGAAAATTCTTTCTAAAAATAGAAACTTATCTCTGTAAGATGGAGATAATTATTCAATTCAGACAATAAATGAAGGATCACACAAGATCATGGATCGATTGAAGTTAGATATTAACACTATTGAATAAAGACCAACTCAATGTTCTAAAGGTTGGACATTCGAGTGTGTGACCGAAGCTCCTGCGTTCCAGTTTTACATGAGAGACCGTGGTTTCTCACTGGTGATGAGTTCCGTACTAAGATGAAACAGCCGTCCAGTGCTTCCATGCCTTCAATGGTGGTCTAGCTTACATCGATTCATTAACTCAACTTTTAAAATTAATACAATCTCCAACAATCCCCATTCTAATAGTTAAATAGGAATTTAGTTTTTTTCTTTTGCTTGGAGTATTTATAATAGACTTGTTGATGACAGATCAGATCTTATCAGAAGACATTTTAATTTAGTTCTGTATTGTGTCGTATTCGCAATGAATATCGAATTTGTTTGAATCAAGTAGTGAGTGAATAAAAACCAGTACTACGTTGAATTACTCTACTGACTAATGTGTCCCTCATAAATATTTGTTTGGGATTATGCATGTAATTCTACTGGGATCAGGTGTCGGTTTTAAACCGGTTTTTTTAAAAGTAGATAAACCACTAAAACCAGGAATATTGTTTCAACTAGTTATGTTGTCATAATCACCAGTACAAATTAGTATTGAATAGAAAGGACAACCGACTATTGTTTAGAATGATGAACTGTATTGCAGTTAACATTCTTTCTACTTATCACACTATCAAGTATCTGGGATCTCTTAAAAATTTAGGCAAATAAATCATATTGTTTCTTAATTCATACAAAATACTGTAACCAAAACACATTCATTCATTGACTACCAGAAAGCATTTATAGCGTGGACAGGACAACACTATGGAGGCTTCTTCGACACTACGGGGCGCCTGAGAAGATAGCCAATATCATACGGAATTCCTAAGATGGATTAAGCTGCAAAATCGTCCACGGAGGACAACTCACCGACTCGTTTGAAGTAAAGACCAGTGTCAGGCAAGGTTACTTACTCTCACTCTTTCTCCTCGTCCTGATGATTGACTGGATTATTAAGACGTCAACGTTTGGGGAAGCATGGGATACAGTAGACAGCTAGAATGCAGCTGAACGATCTAGACTTCGAAGATGATCTGTCTCTTCTATCACACACGCAACAATAAATGCAGGAGAAAATGACCAGTGTAGCAGCAGTCTCAGCAGCAGTATGTCTCAACATACACAAAGAGAGAAGCGAGACTCTCCGAAACAACACAACATGCACCAATCAAATCACACTTGATGGAGAAGATTTGTAGGATGTGGAAACCTCTACATATCTGGGCAGCATCATTGATAAAAACGGTGGATCTGATGTATATGTGAAGGCACGAATCGTTAAAGCAAGAGCAGCATATTTACAATTGAAGAACATCTGGAAGTCAACTCGATAACTGTCAACCAACACCAAAGTCAGAATTTTCAATACAAATGTCAAGACAGTTCTACTGTATGGGGTGGAAACTTGAAGAACTATCAAATCCATCATCCAGAAGATGCAAGTGTTTATTAACAGTTGTCTACGCAAAATACTTCGGATCCAGTGACCAGACACCAACAGCAACAAAATACCGTGGGAGAGAGCAAACCAGATTCCAGTGGAGGAAGAAATCATAAATAAGTGCCGAAAGTGGATAGGACACACATTGAGAAAAGAAGCCAACTGCGTCACAAGGCAAGCCCTCACATGGAATCCTGCGGTCCAAAGGAAAAGAAGAAGACCAATGAACACATTACGCCGAGAAATGGTAATAGACATGAAAAGAATGAACAACAGTTGGATAGAACTAGAAAGGAAGACTCGGGAAGCGTGGGTTGGAGAATGCTGGTCGACGGCTTATGCTGCATTGGGGGGTAACAGCCGTAAGTAAAGTTATATATATATATATATACTAACATACCGATTCGGTTAGGCCATGAACTTTCTCATTCTGAGTTTTTTCAATGGAGTGCCCAGTTGGGGTCCTGTATAAAAAGTTTGGGAATCAATAACAGACTCAACCATCTCACATTGTAACATGTTTGACTTTCATTCCACAGATGAATACTTTAACAAAGTAATATGTACTCAGATTTTTTGAAAAAAAACGTATTATGTTATCATATGATCTAGTTCTGATAAATTTCAACTTCTCATTGAACTGCTCGAACCTTATTCAACATATTGAATATCTAACATTTTATTCATTGATTTCAACTTCCTCTTCAATATATTATTTACTAATATTTTCAGCATGGGGTTGTGCATGTTGTTGAGTTTTTGATTGAGTTCATGAATCGATTATCAGGCCAACATTGAAAACCTGGAAGCAGTGGACAGCTGTTTCGTCCTAGTATGGATCGATTGAAGTAAGACATTAAAACCGTTGTATGCCGGCTCAGTGGTCTATAGGTTAAGCGTTCGAGATACTGGGTTTGAGTCTCGCGTTTGGGGTCGTGGATTTTCACTGGTGATATTTTGTTTAATTTTAACTTATATTTGGATTTGATAATATTGTTTTTATTTCTATTCATTTGTTATTATAGGATAACAGGGGGTGAATTATTTGAACGAATTATTGATGAATCATTTAATTTAAATGAATCTAGATGTATAAAATTTATGCATGAAATTCTTCAAGGTGTTGAATATATGCATTCACAAAATGTGATACATCTTGATTTAAAGGTAAACTGAACTTCTATTAGTTTTGTTATGTAACTGGGTTCAGAACTCAGTAAATTTTTCATATTGTTAGCTAATATAGTTAAGGTTATTGTTGTTGTTAACTGTATACATGTATTTATTTATTGGTTAACTTGAATAAACTACTGTTTATAAGCAAAGATAGATAATGGTTAGCAATGAAATCCAGGGCGCACGTTTCGTCTTATTTGAGACTCGTCAGTCGGATGATCCTGCATCTCAGAGTTGATGTTCACTCTGGGACTCGGACCTAGTACCTTTCTCTTCAAACGCCATCCACTCAGCTACTGAATCCTTATAGTCACTCGCTTGTGCAATAGGATGAAGTTTAAATTCATTTGATATTGCTTGTTTGAAACTTCCCATTGATGTTTAGGACATATATGCATGCTGTGCGTATTGCCTCGATATAGCCTTAATTCACAAGCAGTCCTAAACATCAACGGGAAGTTTCAAACAAACAGTACTAAGTGAATTCAACTACCGCTTAGTTCCATATATATTGGAATCTGTATTTTGACTAAATAAGTGAATCATATATCATTCATGGTAATTTCGACATACTTTGTCAATCAATTATAGAATCGTTGGTTGAAGCTATAGTGAGTCTATTGTTGATATATAAATAAAATCCTTATCTACAATCTTGTATTATTCTTCACGTCATGATGTATTAGTCCTTCTTTAGTTATACAAGAAGGCAAGTAACCAGTTACGTCAGCAGGATATAACATGTAGCAATCAGTAATAGTACTTTATCCAGGTACAACAAATTGTTTGATGGTTTGCCGTGTAGTGTTATTGTCAACGTGAAACTCAGATAAAAATAATAATATCACTTTTGAAATCTTTTCATCATTAGTTAATGTTGTAAAACTTCTAGTCCATTTTTACTCAGTCATGTTGAGAGCTAGATTGAAATCATTGATGAAAATAGATGATGGACAATTTATATCATGAACTAACTGAACTTGGAATTGTGAACTCCTGAATAAAACTTATCTACTGTAACACACGAATGCTCTAGCCCCAATGACGTAATGAGGTAAGAGTAAAGTGGTTGAAAGTAATCAGCCAGAAACTCTGGATTTAAGATTTGTTTTAGTTCAGTAAGACGTACCTGCAATATTGTGGAAACTAATGTTTCCTGTAAAATATTAATCCACGTCACCCAGTTTCACAGGATGAGACGTTGAAATTGTGTAGGTTGGGCTATGACCGACCTTCTTTTGAACTGAAATACTTATATTAATTAATCACTGAGTAGTAACCCATTTTGCATTTGTTTAGTCCTGAATGCTAATTAATTTCTTTTGAACCAGTTGAAAATAGACTGTTTCTTCAATTGCATTCAAATTAATAAAATAATGTAGTATTTTGAACAGCTAGATCTAATTTTTCATAATCACTTTGATGAGACATTGTTCGTCTCTGAAGATAAATCACAGGTTTGTATGGTCCAAAACAAATGAAACCATTCAATATGAAAAGTGTAACTAGATCTTATCACAATTGATTGATCACTGGGTGATGATCAATGTTATGTGTGTCAAGTCCATCTTAGTGCAGACCGAATGCTATCGATCAAGTTGCATTGTGATCACTAGTCTAGGTGGCTTGACACTGCATGCACTATGTTCAGATATGCTGGTGGTTGGAGGTGGTGGTTGGAGATAGATAGATATAGGTAGATAGATAGATAGATATAAATAGATAGATAGATAAATGGAACTGCAAGTAACATAATGAGTATTTTGTTAACTTCACCAGTGATAAATCATGTATCGTTTTTATTACGGCTGTCATTGAAATGTTCTATTGGTTTTACTCCTAATTAGTGTTGTGTTAATGATTTATTTACGAGTATTTTTGTTTATCTAATTACTTCACTAGTGGTAGTGTAATAAACAAAAACAGGTGAAGATGACCAAAAGTCTTCTAACATAAAATTACAAAGTTCTTTTTTCAAATGTAAAAACCATACATTTTCCAAAATGTCCATTAATTGTCTCAGACTTCATTGTTCGTTCATTTCCAAACCAATTCCTCTCTGTTCTCATTCACTTTCATATGATCTTCCCGATCTTCTGCCGCCCGGTTTTCCATTTTCGATCGGTGTTGCATACTACTTATATCTAATGACATCAGTAGCACACACCATAATGTGATTATTTATCATAAATCATTTTAAAATAAAATAAAATAATATAGTTGGAATCATGAGTCATTTTAAGCTAGACCACCATCGAAAACCAAGAAGCACTGCTTGGCGGCCAACTTGTCCTATTATGGAACTCCTCAGTAATGCGCACCCACGATCCCACCTCTCGAGATTCGAAACCAGGAACTACCAGTCTCACGCGCGAGCGCTTAACCACTAGACCACTAAGCTGACAGGCATCCAACGCTGTTAATGTCTAACTTCAACCAATCCACGAAGTTGAGCAACCATTCACCAATCTATTTAGTGAGTTGATATCTCCCAACAGACCTGGTTGAACTCCTCTGGTCACTGCTTCTCACTAGAACTCCAGGAAGTATATAATGGAGCCAATCACTAGTGAGCATATGATCATTATCAAAAGTTAGACATTAACACCGTTGGATGCCTGACAGCTTAGTTGTCTAGAGGTTAAGCGCTCGCGCGTGAGACTGATAGGTCCTGGGTTCGAATCTCGCGAGTGATGGATCGTGAATGCGCACTGCTGAGGAGTCCCATAATACGACAAAAGGGCCGTCCAGTGCTTCCAGATTTTCCCTGGTGGTCTAGTTTCAATTGATTCACGCTTTCAACTATGAAAAATATTAAATCTCCACAAAACCCCACTAATTAATTAATTAATTTTAAAAAACTAATTAACTAATTAATTAATTAGTTAATTAATTTCCCGTTTCTGATCATGTAACTTGATTCCAATCTGTTACATTATTTAATTCAGAGTAATGACTTATCAAGATGTCTTTAAGTAAGTATTAAATTATCAGATAACAAGTAATACTACTGATAAGATACAGTATAAAATATTATCATCAAAATTTTCCATAGATAGTAAAGATGGTTTTTAGTTTAAGAAGATGATTTCATTGAAATTGTGTTCTCATAAAGAAGTGTTGAGACAGATCACTTAGAATTTTCAACGATTTATTACCAACACAACAAAAATTTCAATTATGTAGTCAACTGTTTACATTCTTATAAAATATATTGAACATTGAATTCATTTGGTATTGCTTGTTTGAATCTTCCCATTGATTTTTAGGACTGCAAGTGATCAGTCTCTTATTGGCATATGTGCATACTGTGCGTATTGCCTCAATATAGTCTTAATTCACAAGCATCATAAGTAAAGATGGACAGTGTCTAGCAGTGGAATCCAGGACGCGCGTTTCGTCCTGAGATGCAGGTATATCCAGCTGACAATTCCCAAATAGGACGAAACGCACGTCCTGGTTTCCTCTGCTAGCCACTGTCTATCTTTGCTTATAATGTATTGAACATTATTTTATTTCCTATCCTGATGAGCTTTGCACTGCAAGTATGATACTATGCTAAATGAAAATATTAACAGTTCGATAAGAAATTTTATATTTTAATATTCATCGGTTAGTCATAAGAAACACAGAACCTGGCATATATTTTCCGGTTCAAGTTGTCATACTGTGATATGGGTTACTTATATCCGAATAAGTAGTATATGGGGATGGTCAGGCATAGAATGTATTTTAGCAGAAGATCGATAAGGAACGAACAGGAACGGAACGCAATTGGTATAAAAATGCATCAACAATGAAATAAGAGAAGATTGACTGATATTTGCAGAATGAACGGTCAAGATTGAGACAATTGATTGATAGTTTACAAATTAACTGTTTACTGTATGGTTGTCAGATTTTGGTCAGACAGTCTGTAATATTCGTGTCAAATACATTCGATTGTCCCCACTCGTGTTCTTGTTCACTGCAGTTTAGTCGTGAAGCTTTCACTGTCTATCTAGATACAACAACTCTTTTTTATAGATAGACTAAAGTGCATTTCACTAATGAAGAGATTCTAACAGTTTATTCTTGATTGAAGTTTATATTGATGACATTGACTAGTAAATTGTGGAAAGTTCTACGATTAAACCGTTCAATTTGAACAGAGTAATTTGAACAAACATTTAACTTACAGTCTCAATCTATCATATATGAATGTATCTATACTGTAAGTGAGCTAATAATGAAAAAAAATATTACCCTTCATTCATCTATTTACATTTTCTATTGTAGCCTGAAAATATATTATGTTTATCAGCAACCAGTTTTAAAACAAAAATTATTGATTTTGGATTAGCTAGATTTTATCAAGATCAAAATTTATGTGTTCTATTTGGTACACCGGAATTTGTTTCACCTGAAGTAATCTCATATGAACCAGTTTCACCTGCAGCAGATATGTGGTCACTTGGTGTAATATGTTATGTAATGTAAGTTTATATATTTTCTGACATAATAAGTAAAGAAACGAGATAAGCGTGTATGTATATTAGTAGTAATAATTCGTAGTATTACGTGACAGATTACGGTTTTGTAATTACTATTATTTTGTCAATGGATGGCTGTTTTGTCCTAGTGTTGGACTTCTTAGCATTGAGGAACATTGGGGAATCGAGCCATGAAAGTTCTGCGATCTGGACAAATTCATGCTATGCAAATAGTAATTCTGTACTCACTAATGATAAGCTTTAGGATGAGATTTCTAGAATTCTAGTGAAAAGCTGTGAGCATTTGATTTCAATTATCTCGGTTGTGAGACAGTTGTCCACCGAAAGCAGTGGATGACCGTTATGCAGTATCGTGAATTGTTTAAAGCTAGACATATATAGCACTGGGTGCAGCCTCAGTTATCTAAAATTTACGCTTTTAGACTAAAAAATGAAGGTTCTGGGTTCGATTCGCGAATGTGGGATCGTGGATACATACTAGGGCGAGACGGCCGTTCGTCGCTTCCAGGTTTTGAGTTGTGGTCTAACCAAGATCAGTTTATGATTTAAACTGTGAAAACATATTTCGTTCTATCTTTTGTCCAGTTTATAAATTTACTTCGTTTTTTTCTAAAAAAAAAGCATAGTAAGTACTATTTATATTGATCTTGAAAGTGTGGTCCAATCGGTTAAAAATATAGTCTAGCCCGTGTCAGTATGTTCAGAGTATCAGGTTACGGACCACACAGTAACCGGGATTAGTAATTGGAGATGTAAATATATCCAATCTGTATAAAGTAGTAGCTTAGGATTTGTTATATCCCGTGGAGATTTATGAATGGGAACTTTGAGAACTATTTATGGACCAATATGATATGTATATTTCTTATCGTATAATTGTTAAATAACTAAACTATTCATATTCGTGTCCCTCTTATTATAAGCTTTATTTTGACCCATAGACTATTACTGTACGATTTACCATTCTTGAGTTATACCCGGTCCATTAATTACTGTTCCCCCATTCACAGTCACATTTGGCCAAATCTTGTACAAATGTTATTTTCTATTTTATGGTACGATGTGGTCTGTTTGGTTGGTATATAAACTCAGTATGTTTGAGAATAATGATTCATATTGAAGAGGCTGTTATTGGTGTTGTGGACTTAACTGACTGGTCTAGGCAGAAAGTATGACTGATAAGTACTCAAGACTACTCATACGGCTTTTTGTATCATTGCTCTGATCGATAAATTCACTCCTGTCTCATTGGCGGGCATCATTACGTTCATATATATCAATTGGGCAAGGGCGCACTCATTAGATATAACAAAATTAGTTACCTTGACACAGATATATATTCACTATTTATCTTTCTCTTGACTATGAATCTCAGTACTCCATCATATTAACCTTACACTCTCTTTTCGAAATATATTCTTAATGTTTGCTTTCTCATTATAATTATTACCATACTGACCAATATCCTTTATTATTTTCACTGAAGACAATTAGTGAACGGTTGCTCAAACTTCGTGGATTGGTTGAAGTTAGACATTAACAGCGTTGGATGCCAGTCAGTTTAGTGGTCTATAAGTTAAGTGCTCTGGCGCGAGACTGATAGGTCCTGGGTTCGAATCTCGTGAGGCGGGATTGTGGATGCGCATTACTGAGGAGTTCCATAATAGGACAAGTTGGCCGTCCAGTGCTTCCAGGTTTTCGATGGTGGACTAGCTTCATTTCATCGTTTTAATGAAACTTGATAATTTGAACGAACAAACATTTTTGGTGGGCTTTAAATGCATTTTCCCGGTATATCGCATCTTTTTTTTTAAATCACTGTTTATCAATGTTTATTCATAACTTATACTGTTCTTTTTCAAATTATCTATTACCTTATATTATTAGGCTTTCTGGATTATCCCCATTTTTGGGTGACAGTCAAGGAGAAACTTTAGCTAATATTATACGAGTGAAATATAATTTTGATTATACAGAATTTGCAGAAATTTCAAATGATGCAATGGATTTTATTCGAAAACTTTTAGTGAAAGATCCAAGGTAATTAATACTGATATAACGAATTTTTGAAAATATTATTTTCTTTTACAAAGTATACTACAGTACTACTACTAATACGTTATTATGATAATAAGATTAATTACTTTATATCAGATCCAGGATACACAGCCCAAAATGGAGAATCGAAGTGAGTATAGACTAGATAATACTTTATTCAACACAATTAGAAGAAGTCACTCTCAGTAAGTCCGGAGTATAGATCAGTGAGAAGAAACTTACTTACGCCAGTTACTTCTCGTAGAACAGTATAGGTCACCCACCAGCATTTCACATTCAAATCTATCATGGATAATCCACTCCAGTTATTTCCAGTTGATATTTAATCTTCTTCATGTCTGCTTCCAATTCTTGGCACAATGTGTTTCCTGCTCTTCTTTTTTGCTATTTCCCTTCAGGATTCCAAGTTAAAGTTTGCCTCGTGATGCAGTTCGATGATTTCTTTAATAAGTGTCCTATCCACTTCCAGCATCTCTTTCTAATTTCCTCTTCGACTGGGAGTCGGTTCGTTTTCTCCCACAGTAGGCTGTAGCTGATGATATCCGGTCAACGGACATTCAATATCTTGTATAGACAATTGTTTATAAATACTTGTACTTTCTTGATGATTATTGTAGTAGTTGTCCACGTTTCATCTCCTTGCAGTAGAACTTTCTTGACGTTCGCATTGAAGATTCTCACTTTTATGTTGGTTGAGAGTTGTTTTGAGTTCCATATGTTCTTCAACTATAGGAGTGCTTCCCTTACTTTGCCAATCCTCGCCTTTACATCTGCATCGGATTTACCTCGTTCATAGATGATGCTGTCCAGGTATGTGAAAGTGTCCACCTCTTCCAGAGCTTCTCCATCAAGTGTGATTGTTTTGATGTTCTCCGTGTTATGTTCGAGGATCTTGCCTTTTATTTTGTGTATGTTGAGGCCTACTGATGTTGCTAATTCTGCTACACTAGTTGTCTTGTCCTGCATTTTTTTCGTGTGTATGGGATAGAAGAGCTAAGTTATTTGCAAAGTCCAAATCGTGCAATTGCATCCAAGCTATCCATTGTATTCCGTGACTCCCTTGAGGTGTTGAGGTATTTTCAATCCAGTCAACCACCAGAAAAAAGAGAAAAGGGGAGAGTAAGCAACCTTGTCTAAATCTGGTCCTCGATTAGAACGCGTCTTTCAGCTGTTGTCTATGCATGATTTTGTAGTGTAGTCCAATGAAAATAAAGGAAATCATATATTTAATAGTCCGTTGACTAAATGCTTGTTTGTCCATGCTCAGTGATCAATCATATTTTATTTTCAGTACCAAATATCAAATACATTTCTATATTCTATTGTACTTATAACCATATTTTATATATGTTAATGGATAATTAAGACTTCATCATATACAAATTCATTTAGTATTGTTTGTTTGAAACTTCCCATTGATGTTTAGGACTTTGCGTCCTGGATTCCACTTCTAGCCACTATCCATCTTTGCTTATTCATCATATACAGTTTCTCTTAAGTTGAATAGAATAAATTCCGTTACATTAAGAACTAATGTGTAATACTTTTGAGATATTACAACAATCTCTGTCTAATACCTATTCACATTGTCTTTATTCAAAAATGTATAATATAAATGTATATCAACAGACATTTTCTCCTTCATCAGTCTATAGTCATATAAGTTGTATAACAATTCTAATATTACAACTATTGTATTCACTCATCATATATGAAATGTATAAATTTCAATAATATTCATATCTGATTATTTTTTTAAAAATTGAAGAAATGGAAAATATACAAATAACAGCGGTATCTCCATTTGGAATTCTCAATATTCAGAAGTAAAATCATTCATAAGCTTTTTCGTAGATTAGTTGAAGTTAGACAATAACACCATCGAATTCCGGCTCAGTAATCTAGAGGTTAAGATCTCGCGCTTGAGACTGATAGGTCCTGGGTTCGAATCTCGCGAGTGCGAGATCGTGGTTACGCACTGCTGAGGAGTCCTACAATAAGACGAAACAGCCATCAAGCAGTGCTTTCAGGTTTTCGATGGTGATCCAGCTTCAATGGACTCATGATTTCAACCATAAGCTTTTTATTATAACATAAGAATATATTCTATTATTACTCAATTAAAACAAATGTTAAACGGAAAAAAACTGATATTATTGGATAAATAAGCAAAATTAAGTTTTTCAGTTCATTATGAGTTTGATTCAATAGTACTTTCATTTTTTTTAATTCAATATGATGATTTCTATTATGTGTGATATTTGTTAATTAATCCTCAATTATGAGTAAATTCAACATGTAATTGAGTGTATTCATTCATGATTTTGATCTATTTCTATGGCCAAATAAAACTGTATCAATATTCTTTGTATTCTTATTTGATTCGAGGTTCCAGTACAAAGTATAAGTTAGTCAAACATTATGCAGGTAAAACAAGAATAGAGATAACAATAAATTCAACTTAGTATTGTTTGTTTGAATCTTCCCATCGATTTGTTAGGACTGCAACTGGTCAGTCTCTAATTGGCATATGTGCATACTGTGCGTATTGCCTCGATATACCTTAATTCACAAGCATGGTTAGCAGAGATGGATAGTGGCTAGAGTGAACATCAACTCTGAGATGCAGGTACATCCAGCTGACGAGTCCCAAATAGGACGAAACGCGCGTCCTGGATTCCACTGCTAGCCACTATCCATCTCTGCTAAGAGATAACAATATTTTTACAATTAGGGAATAGATGATTCGAGTATTTTAGGTAAGCAGTTAAACGAATAAATTACTGGGTTGGATTGTACTTACTTACTTACTTACTTACTTGTTTTACTTACGCCTGTTACCCCCCAATGAACCATAGGCCGACGACTAGCATTCTACAACCCATTCTGTCCTGAGTCTTCCTTTCTACTTCTATCCAATTGTTGTTCATTTTTCTAATGTCAGTTTCCATTTATCGTGGTAATGTGTTCTTTGGTCTTCCTCTTCTCCTTTGACCTTGAAAATTCCAAGTGAGGAGTTGCCTTGTTATGCAGTTGGGTGCTTTCCTCAATGTGTGTCCTATCCACTACCAGTTATTCCTCCTGATTTCTTCCTCCACTGGAATCTGGTTTGTTCTCTCCCACAGTATGTTATTGCTGATAGTGTCTGATCAATGGATCCGAAGTATTTTGTGTAGATAACTATTAATAAACACAGTTGGATTGTAACTTCATCTAATTCGATTCACACATCTGAATGTTATCATTAGCACTAATACATAAAAAAATAATTTGCAGGCCAAACAAATCTGAGTACATAAACTTCTACGTGATAGATGAATCATATTTATTTTTCGAAACAAATTGTTATTTGGACATAGATTGAATTGAAGTACGTTCCGAGCACGATTGTGTTAGTGCATGCTGATTAGCTATTTCTTATCCAATCAGTGCTAGTTGATACTTGGAGAAGACTCTAAAATCTCAAGTAAAAACTATAAATATGCTAACGTTTCTCTTATTGTGCTTTTTACCCCCATCTACCCTTGTTATTTGAAATAGAATTTCGTCCCTGTCCAACCGTGTTCCGATTTGGGGAATTTGTCGAGTGAATTAGTGTTCAAGAATACTAAGCAATAGGAATAGCTGGGTGGTTATAAGAGAAATTAAAACACAAACACAGTCATGTATCAAGAATAATGTTAAAATTGACTTATTATTGATACTTAAAAATGAAACTAATAACATGATTAATAGACCGGTAGGTCCTGTATTCGAAACTCCCGAGGCGAGATCGTGAATGCGCACTGCTGAGGAGTCCCACAATAGGATGAAACAGCCATCTAGTGTTTTCACGTTTTTCATGATGATCTAGCTTCAATTGACTCATGATCTCAACTAATAAAATTAATGAACTTCTAGTTCAATGTAAATGTTGAATTTATATTTCTTTTCATTTTCCATAACATGTCGTTATTAATCTCTGTTTTTTTCCTTTATCTGTATATATATATACACCAATAAAACATAATACTTCTGTCTTGTTTTTTCTTTGATTGTAGAAAACGAATGACAGCTACTGAATGTTTACAACATCAATGGTTAAAGGTGAATGTTACATAATACTCATTATTTTGTAACTAATAATATATTACATCATAGATGGATAGTGGCTAGTAGTGGAATCCAGGATGCACGTTTCGTCCTATTTGGGACTCGTCAGCTGGATGTACCTGCATCTCAGAGTTGATGTTCACTCTGGGACTCGAACCCGGTACCTTTCGCTCCAAATGCCATCGCGTTATTCACTCGGCCACTGAGTTTTGATAGCCACTTGCTTGTGCAATGGGGTGAAGTTTGAATTCACTTAGCATTGTTTTGTTTGAATCTTCCCATTGATGTTTTAGGACTGCAACTGGGCAGTCTCTAATTGGCAATACGCATAGTATGCACATATTCATGAATTTTATTACATCATAGACTGATAATTAGGTGGAGAATTATTGAAAACTCAACTTCTCTCTCAGATACATTCTTTATTTACATTGAACTAATCTCTACAATTCATTTAGTCTAGTAGTAATAAGTATGAAGTTGTTGTATACTGATAAAGAGTTAAGTAGTGCAATAAAATACCTTCTCAATGAGTTCCTGGTTTTAAACAGTTTTCTATTTATTCACTTAGTCATTTGATCATAAGTGACTTAAAAACTGCCAAATATGTGTATATGTATCCAGTTCACCATATCGTACATTTCAAGATAAATGTTAAAATATTAAAAGCAGTTACTGAATCATTTGTAGTAGAAAACATTAGGCATCAAAAATAAGATTCAAGAAGAATAAATTCTTGGAATAAACAATATAAGGGAAGACATAGAGTGGGTGCATTATTGTTGATTTTGCGCCATGTTATTTGATACCTCCAACCATCGCGCGTACCCAAACAAGATAGTCTGCACCTACTAATAATGGTTCAGTCAAACAATCAGTAATTTCATGTACTGATGTTCCAATGGAGATATCCATATCCTAGTATTTATTTTTTTACGTTGGAACTCATACCCAGTACATTTTGTTTAAAACGCTTAACAAGTTTCACACTAAGCTGCTGAGTTTAGCTAGTCAATGACTAAATCAATAGAAATGATGTTTCTATAACTATTAGTAATATTTTGAACGATTTCACAATTCATCTATTTTAATGGTGACTTATAATTTTTATATATAGTTGAAATCATGAGTCAATTGAAGCTAGAACACTATTGAAAACCTTAAAGCACTAGACAGCCAACTCGTCCTATTGTGGAACTGCTCAGTGGTGCGCATCCACGACCTTGCCCAACCCAGGACCTATCAGTCTCACGCGCGAGCGCTTAACCACTAGACCACTGATCTGGTCGGCATCCAACGCTGTTAATGTCTAGTTTCAACCATTCCACTAAGTATGAGCAACCATTTCACCAATGTCTTCAGTGAATTGATACCTCCCAACAAACCTGGTTGAACTCCACTAGTTACTGCTTCTCACTAGAACTCCGAAGAATACCTCATGGAACCAGTCACTAGTGAGCATATGATGAGGGGGTTGGCAAGATTTGTTAGCTCTGAATATAAGTTTCAAAAAAGCTGTTTACAACAGAGTTTACCCCTGAAGAGAAAACTTTTGAGACTACAAATATATATCTTTTAAAACTAAACTGTATTTCGATGAAAATTGCCCCGTAATGTACACAATTCACTTTCAACGGTTATTCTCTTTGTAATTTCTACGATCAATTTTGTAATCCTTGACATTTCTTTTCTGAATTTTTTTACATGTTTTTTTTTCTGTAGCAAAAGAAAAAAACACCAAAACGTTCTGGAACAGTCAGTAAAAAACGTCTGAAACATTTTGTTTATCGACGTAAATGGCAAGTAAGTAATTTTGTGAAAGAACTAACACTTTCTTCATTATTTAGTTTGTATGTCCTGGTCAGTCTGCATGATTTATCAAATATGATGTCTCGTACCATTTATTTTGTAAATCAATATATTACCTGTGGTGCATATATTGAGATACTATTTAAGATTTGATTGGTAAATAATTTCAGTTAAGGACGTCTTTGTTAAAATAGGTAGTTTATGGATATTGTCTAATTTGAAGTTAGTTTGCATCAGAGATTGAAATAAAGTAAATTGCATTGGACAGTCGTTTCATCTAAATTAGAAAATTTTCAGTCTTGAATATCTGAGCCTCGATATATAAAGAAGACCGGTCTTCAGTTAAGTGACTTATAATTCCATCACTAATCAGAGATCCACATTTCCTAATTCTATCTGTTTGTTAAGGTCATGCAGCGAGGTTAAATAGCGTGTCATTGTACGTAGTTGAAGATAGTTTCGGCCCTCTCAAGATTGCACGTGCACCTTGTGGAGGAGTGTCAACCAGAAAGAAACTTAAGTCCTTAGCGTCCTACCGATCACCTCCAACCATCTCGATGAAGTCCACGCGATATCCAATCACTGGGAATAGTGACCCCATTGTCATTTGATGAATGGAATTCGATTAGCTTTAAAGGGCTAAATAAATGTGACATTAATCGCTACTTGCTAACCAACCAGTTAAAACTATTCTTGTTAGGTTCGATGGGACTGCAGTCGTAACTTTTCACTGAAGCTCTAGGAGTCCATCCCAAAGCTAGTTATTAGCAAACAATTATTATTTAAATGAATGGTTTGTGGAGATTAACACAGTTATAAAACGCCTTTAATCACTGAAATACATCGACGAGAAAATTACTGAAACGATCTGTGGCTGCCTGAGTTCGTGAGTAAACTGTACACATGAGTACCAACATAATAATGAAACAACTGTAAAATATTCTCTGATATTCTATAGCTTTCCACCTAATATCTCTTAATGGTATAAACTGACTGTTTTCTCAAAAACACGAAAAAGGGAGCACTGAATCACTATATACCGGTCTTACAGATTACATCATGAACTGATCTTACTTAGACAACCACTGCAAATCAGAAAGAAACGGAGAGCTGTTTCCAACTATTATGAGACTCCTCGACAGTTCACGTCCGCCATTCCACTGGGGATAAAACGTATGGCCTTTAGGTTTCAAGGGGAGGGATTGGTCTTTAAATAACAGGTGTGGGATTCAGTCGTTTACATTGTCTATCCTTAATGAACTCGCGACACTGCGAAACGACCTTCCAGAGACATTGGTAGGTAACTGCCTCTTATTCGACATGATGTGAAATTCCACAATCTTCATAAACCCATCTAGTAGTAATTTTTCTATTTATTCGAAAATTACCAGATCAAATTGTGATGTAAAAAATGCTCGATATCATGTGAATTTATTGTCATACTTTTTGACAAGAAAACATGTGTCTTCCAAAATAAATAATGCTAATAATTATAAGCAAAGATGGATGGTAGTTGGCAGTGGAATTCAGGACGCACTCTTCGTTCCATTGGGGACTCCTCAGCTGGATATATCTGCGTCCCAGAGTTAATGTTCACTCTACAACTCAAACCTGTCAGCTTCAAATGTTATCGCATTGTTCACTTAGCTACTGAGTCCTCATAGCCACTATCTTGTGCGATAGGGCGAAGTTTAAATTCGTTTCGTATTGTTTTTTTAAATCTTACCATTGATGTTTAGGACTGCAATTGATCAGTTTCTTATTGGTATATATGCATCCTGTACGAATTGCCTCGATATTGTCCTAAACCACAAACATTATAAGCAAAGACTTAAGGCAACCTGTACAGGATGCACATATTCCAATAAGAAACTGATCAATTGCAGTCCTAAACATCAATGGTAAGATCCAAATAAACAATATGAAATGAATACTAATAACTTTCTCTGACCTAGCTAAGTCTCGAAATTCTTCTGCAAAAAAATACTTTCTTTACACGCAGGAATTTATTTGTTTTTATAATTTTGGAATGTCTGCTTTGTATTATAAGAACATTTACACTTGTACTATAAGATTAGTCAACACTTAATAACATCAAATACATACGGTAACTTAAAACAATTAGTCCCTTTGATAAATTTCGATAATGCAATGAGAAGACGAAGTTTATCAGAATTATGTGATATATTAGCGCAATACATTTCGAACAATCTGATCACACATATACTTGTTAGGAACATTTTTTATATGAAAATTAAAAGGTCAACTAGACAGGTTAAGGTAAGAAAATAAATAAAGTACACAAAAACAATGTGAAGTAGAAGAGAAGATGGTTCCATCCAACGTTCGATATATAGAAAGCCGACATGGACGGGGCAATACCTTAATTTCCATAGTCACTGCCCAATTCATTACAAACGTGGGTTAATTAAGGGCTTATTCAATAGAATCAATCGTATTTGTACTAGTGATACTATTGAAATAGAAACGAAGCTTCTAACTAATACGTTAATGAATAACGGTTATTCATTTAAGTTCATAAACCGCTGGAAGGGTTGCAATACGATTAGACCTATTACGCTTCTGGCACCCAAAAAGCGAGTTTATATTACATTACCATTTAGAAGTGACTCTAATAGTCTCATGTTAAGACGGAGACTAAAATTAGCCATAAATAGGACATTCTATGCAGCTCAACTTGTCATCATTGAAAAGATAAGGTCGATGTTTCACCAAAAACCTAGACAGCACATAAACGATTGCGTCACATCCCATTGTGTATACCAATTTACATGTATGTGCGGTAACACGTACATAGGGAGGAGCAATCGTGATTTGCAAATAAGGGTGGTGGAACACATACCTAAATGGCTACAGAACCAAATGAATTCGAATAGTCAAATAAGATCACAGGACAGACAAACATCTTCCTCTATTGCGAAACATTTAGTTGAAACTGGTCATAAGGTTGACATCAAATCAGCATTTGTAGTGTTGTACAAAAGCCTTCAAGGACGTATACTAAGGTTTATTGAAGCCTTGGCTATACGGAAATTGAAACCCCCTTTATGTGTTCAAAAACAATTTGTTCTTACCCTTAACCTACCCTGGTAATGCTTATTTATTATCCAGAGTAGTCATCACATTGTTTTTGTGTACTTTATTTATTTTCTTACCTTAACCTGTCTAGTTGACCTTTTAATTTTCATATAAAAAATGTTCCTAACAAGTATATGTGTGATCAGATTGTTCGAAATGTATTGCGCTAATATATCACATAATTCTGATAAACTTCGTCTTCTCATTGCATTATCGAAACATACGGTAACTTCGAAATATTGTCAGTCGTATAAAGAAAGCCAAACTTCTTGACCAGTCTTAGAGAAAACAATGGAATTGCAAGAAGAAATAAATAGTGGCTAACAGTGGAACCCAGGACGCGCGTTCCGTCCCATTTGGGATTCGTCAGATTACCCCTACCCACATCCCGAATTCGATGTTCACTGAGGGACTTGAACCTATTACTTTTCTATAAATAAATTAATATATTTAGAGTATCCCAGTGAGTAGAAAAATTAGATTTCCGGATGTTTCTTGACTCAGTGTAAGCTAATTCAGAGAATAAATAACCAGCTTTGATTTGGTTATTTATTCTTCGAAGAAGTAGCTTACACTGAGTCACGAAACGTCAGAAAGTCTAATTCTTCTACTCATTATGATATTACAAATATATTAATTTATTCATAAAAATCTACTCAATCATGGTTAGCAGAGATGGATAGTAGCTAGCAGTGGAATCCAGGACGCGCGTTTCGTCCTATTTGGGACTCGTCAGCTGGACGTACCTGCATATCAGAGTTGATGTTCACTCTGGGATTCGAACCCAGTACCCTCGCTTCAAACGCCATCGCGTTATCCACTCGGCCACTGAGTCCTGATAGCCACTTGCTTGTGCGATGGGGTGAAGTTTAAATTCAACTTAGTATTGTTTGTTTGAATCTTCCCATCGATTTGTTAGGACTGCAACTGGTCAGTCTCTAATTGGCATATGTGCATCTCTGCTAACCATGCTTGTGAATTAAGGTATATCGAGGCAATACGCACAGTATGCACATATGCCAATTAGAGACTGACCAGTTGCAGTCCTAACAAATCGATGGGAAGATTCAAACAAACAATACTAAGTTGAATTTAATCTACTCAATTTATTCGAAATTATCAAATCAAACCTTAATAATGATACTATTACCTTTCTGTTGAAATGAAATTGCGTTATTCACTAAGCTACTAAGTCCAGAGATTGATCAACAACAGTCCTAAACATCGATATGAGGATCCAAACAACCAATATATATGAATTAAAATTACCAATGGAATTGGTTTGAAATCTAGAATTACTAAGAGAATTTCCCTACTTCATGTTATCGGCTAATGTCCTATTTATCAAACAAAGCTTTCGTATAGCAGTTTGAATTATTTTTGTATTTATTCTCTTTTTAGAAAGCAGTAAATGCGATTATAGCATTACAACGTATGGGTGTTGTACTACAACACTCACCAATAATGCGATCAAGACATCCAAGTATGTCTATACATGGTATGAATAGATCATTTGAAAATGAAACTAAACGACCTAAACCTCCACAAGTCACTGGACATAAATTATTATCAAGTAGCCCAACACCACTTCCAACAGTTAGTAAAGAAAGTTCACCAATGGAATTAATGAAGAAACCTTCAGGCATATTTAGAAAAACTAGTTTCTTTGGTAAAACACGAAAAGATGATACCACTACTAGTAGTGCTGGTAATAATGGAACTAAAACTAAAAATAAAGCTGTTGAAAACGTATCAGATCCATCAACATCACATAAAAATAAATTAGACTTATCAACTAAATCCAAACGTAAAGAAAGTGGTAAAGTTTTCATGTTACAACGGTATAAAAATAGTCAACAGTCAACATCATCAGATAGTCCGTCGATTTTACCTAAAATCAGTGTGACAAGTGAACCCAATTCCAGATCCTCAAGTAAATCAGAAGCAGTTGTAACTAGCCCGATACAACAAAAGGATACTTCTGCTTCATCATTTGTATTTAAAACTCAGAAAAAAAATAGTGCATCAAAAATAATACAATCAAATGAGAAACAATCGAATCCTTTCACCGTAAAAGATAAAAAATCCTCCACATCAACACCACCATTGCCACCAACTTCAACATCTAATCCTCTATTAACAAACTCAATTGGGAATACAAGCAATGAAAAAGAGAAATTATCAGCTGGAAAAACAAAAACAACATTGAACACAACTGATACTACTAACAATCTTGTTAGTAGTAGTAATAGTAACACAACAACAACTGTGAATACACACCATAACTTTCATAAAGTCCCAACAAAATCAAAGACTACTACATCCATTTCAAAATCAGATATTGCTATGAAAATTAATTTCTTTTCAAATTTATCTAAACAAGGTAAAGTAAAGTGATATTGTACAGTGATTTTCTCTTCTTTTGCATGCTTTCTTTATTTATCCCCATCTGTAAATTGTCTTCCTTTTGAATTTTATGCAGTATTTTTTTCTTTTCATTTCACCTCCATTTATCGATTTTGTGTGTGTGTGTCTAGGTGGGTGAGTGGGTAGGTAGGTAACAAGAGTTCAAATTTATTTAGTTTTAATAAAAGATTGTTTCATATTCAATAATTTTAATGACAATAATATAACTATCAAATAGGTTTTGTTCATAAGATAAGATACTTAACAAACAGATAAAAGTGAACAAATAACCAGAATTAAGAATTTCCCTACATATCAATTTAATCATTACTATTATTATCGTATATTATTAATATCCATGGTAAATAAACTTGTTTTTTTTCCTCGTTTTCGAGTTGTCCAATGGAAATTATTCACTAACAACACCATACATATTAACTCTTTGTATTCATATAGTAACAATAATAATAATGCCGAACCTTCATCTATATATTTTTTCCCAATAATTAAAATATTTTTAAGCGCATATATAAATCATTATAATAATGGGTTCCTTTGTTTTAATTTGTATAAAAGTTCATTGTTCAATGAATACCCCCCCCCGAAAAAAAGGTCACTCTTTTGTTGTTCTGTCTTTTATTGTTTATAATAAAGATTACTTTATTAATAATTTAATAAACATTATGGTGATGCTGTTGTTTCATTTGTTATTTATAACTGATTGTTTCATTATTTTCATCCATTTCATTTTATCCATATAAAAAGAATTATTATTTGAAATAAAAGAGATAACTTAAATAAGACTGGGTGATTTTGGGAACAACTTCTATTTCGAAGGGGATTTGGTTATCATTTAAACAATAATACTAGTTTATTTACTGATCTTTTTAGCTATCTTACACCACGATATAGTTAGCCCCCAAATGCCTTGGTACGGCTGAGAGTGGGGAGAGTCTTCTTGCCCTCTCGAAATGCTCTCACATGGCAACACGTATATAGCCTCTGTCAGGGAAGTCCTACTCACTGCCTTCTCGTGACAGAGGGTGTCGTTTACAAAAGTGAGAGGACGAAAATGTCAGGAGCTTTAACCGGGTTAGTGGACACGGAAATTTCACCTAGGGGAGTTGGAAAACCCTCATTCCAAACCAATGGTGCACATGGGCTCCAGTATCCTGATAGAGCAAATGGCGTGTGGATCAATTGTTGGTCACTGGCTACCATGAGACTTCATCTCCTTACGATGCTCCACTGCCTTGTGGATCAGATCTCTAGGTCAAAGGCTCGGGGTGTGGCCCCCTAGGAAAACCACCTGCTTCAGTTTGGGTACCTGGGCAGTAATACAGCTGTCACACAAATCAAATGAGATTTGTGCGGCACATATTTATCCGGTGCCCCTTTGTACCAATATTTATGTGTTTAAATAAACAAATAAAAATAAATAGTTTGTCAGGTATACATCAACGATTATCATTATCCCTTCAAAATGTGACGGGGAAATGTAAATGTGTGGTCACCTTAAAACCTGATGTCAGGTTGGTAAGAAAATTTCCACAGAGCTTTATTGGTGCCTGTCAGTCTGAAAATAACTTAGCATAAAAAAAACACAAATGTATAAAGCATCAAAATCAAAGTACAAAAGTCAATTTGTTACGAAGACTAATGACTTTTGTTCATTTACAAAAGGATGCAGATCAGTTTGCTGTCGATTCACTCATTTTATCAACATAACTCAAGCGTACATGATTCACAACCATTTCTTTTTCGCAAAAATGGGAAGGAATTAAGAATAATAACTAACTTCCAAGTTGCCCCCAGCCACGACAGGAAAGCTTACTTAGCTGCATCCAAATGAAGATAGAGTGGGGTATCAAGAGGAAGCAGTAATATGACTTAGTTAAAGTTGTGTTTTAAATACTAAGCCATCGTTTGATATTGAAAGTCGAGTTATTATCTCAATCTATCACAGAGACAACTTTGGAGACTATCACTCAACCAAAAAAGTATTTAGTTACATAGCGATTTAGAACAACAACTAATGAAACCTAGATAAATAAACAATTTTAACATGATTGATGGACGAAAAAACGTTAAAGTAATGCGTTAGGAGCCCCGGTAGAGACAGGAATTGAGGTTGGCAGTCCTAGGGTTAGTATATATATTTAGAGTAGGTGCATACTTTTCAAACACAAAAACACTCTTGATTATCTCCTGAACCACATGAAGTACGTTCAAACATAATCTGTATCAGGCACAGGTATTTCTTGTGATTTAGCCAACGCAGTATGTTACATCCTATGTGTGGTTGGAACAAAGATAATTTTTAAAACAACTTTAACCATTCTAGGAACTAATTATCAGCAACTTCTTATTTTTCAATAAGATACCTGCTATACTCCAATAAAGTTTGAATGTTGCACGAAATTCGATAAACGATATCTTTAATATGACTGGTTCTCTGAAGGTTGTCGCTATAACATAGTCTCGTCGACTACTTATCAAAATAGATACATTGGAATCAAAATACACACATACATCCAGATATGATAATAGCACATCTCAGTTCATGTGAATAAGACACAAGAATTGAATGATTACAAAGTATGTTTTACACTATAAATCTAATCTTTTCCATTTGTAATTCTTTGAACTCCACACTCATTAGTTAAAAACGACTATCAATGTTAGTTTTATGTTTTAAAATGACAACACAACCTTAAAAAAAGAAACAGTTAGATGACTATAATACATAATATACAGATATGCAGTAATACAATATCAACATGTCATTTTGATTCTCCCGTTTTCAGCTTCATCGCCATCGGACTAAGCGGGGCAACATGATAATCTTCGGGCCTGGAAGAATTTTGTAAAAGAAAATATCACTCAGAGAATATATGTAAGCAACATGGAATAACATTGCTGTATACATATACTACACTTTAGACTACGCATTAATGTAATAGTAATTTAGTGAAACGAATCAACCGTAGGTTTATGCACTGAACTTTGAGCTACATGGTTTTGTGAGCAGTTATAATAGTAACCGGCCGCCAAAACCAAAGTAGGTGGAGTAGGATTTGAATAGTACAACTGAAGTGACACCTGAACTAATGATAGGGAGTGAAGTAGTTGAGCGTGTTGACAGCTTCACTTATCTTGGTAGTCTCATCAGCCCTTGTGGTCTGGTGCATGACGAAATCTCAGCACGGATACAGAAGGCTCGTCTAGCTTTAGCCAACTTGCGCCATTTATGGCGTAGGCGAGATATCCGTCTAGCAACAAAAGGACGGGTTTACTGTGCAGCAGTTCGTTCCGTCCTACTTTATGGCAGTGAAACATGGACCATAAGAGTAGAGGATATTTGTAGGCTACTAGTTTTCGATCATAGATGTCTTCGATGCATTGCTCGTATATCCTGGGACCACCGGGTAAGTGATGCAGATGTTAGGAAACGGGTACTAGGTAAGGATGGCAAATCGATTGATGAAGTAGTGAAACTTCATCAGTTGAGATGGCTGGGACATGTGTTACGTATGCCCAACCACCGACTGCCCCGACGTGAAATGCTTTATAGTGTAGGAGCAGGTTGGAAGAAAGCTAGGGGCGGCCAGACCAAAACATGGCATAAATCCATGAAGTCACTGACAAGTGGACTGAGCCATGTTGGTAGGTGTAGACTACCTGGTTGGGATTCGCGAGGTGATAGCAACCGATGGTTAGAGACCTTGAATGACATGGCTCAAAATCGTTTGCAATGGCGAAGGTGTATCTACTCTTTGTGTTCTCCCAAATTCTAATCTTCTGAATTATTTGTGTCCTTTTCCTTTTTGTCTTTCCAAATTTATTTCACTGCATTATACTCCTTCAATAACATCTTCAAACCCTTATCGTTCACATAATACTTATACTCTTACTACTTCTACCAATATGGGATTTGAATCGACAACTTCATCTCTGTGCTAATGTGGTATGGCAACTCGAACTGATGTACGTACGTACGAAGTTCTACGTTGTGACTGACTGACTGACTGAATGTTTAAGTTTGTCATTTCAATACTGAATTTCGATATTTTTAAATGACAAATATGATACCCACAGACAAGGAAGTATGCACCTTATCAAAAACATAAATGCAGTCCAGTCACAAATATCTATGGCTGAGAACTGTCATTGTATATGAGTTGATTCCATGAGACGACATGAACTGACTAACTTAAGCTTTCAAATTAGGTCTGAATTTGAGGGATTGTGAGAAATGCCAATTGTTATAGTTCAATCAAAATTAGTTCACATAACTGTCAAGGAATTTGCAGTTCAAATGTTTATTTATCAGAATTTTTTAATAAAGGGGATCTGTGAGGATTGTTATATTTCATCTTTTACATCACGGAGTGATCTTAGTTAAACAACCATTTAAAATTAGAAAGCACTGGAAAGTTTTTCCGAACTAGTATGGAACTACTCACCAATGTATGTACATGACGTCACTGAAGATAGAACCCAGGATCTACAGGTCTCGAGGTGAGCGTTCAGTTTCTAGACCACTGGATTCATAAGTACTAGACAATTGCATAGTTTTCTGAACTACTTACATTTAAAAACAAACAATAATAGGTCTGACCAAAAACAAGCAAATGAAATAACAGACAACACAAAATACTGTTATATAAGCGACTAACCAATCGAAAAGTTTAGGAAATTCATTAAGTTCTTCAGTAGAGTAATCCTCAAGGCGTTTTGGAACTTTCATGACTTGTGGTATTACTCCTGAAATATTGGCAATAATGTCCTTGGGAATAGTCTAAATTCAGTAGTCAATTTTCAATTACTAATCAATACTTCAATATTTTCAGGGTATATATGAAGACGAGATAATTGGTATTTACGAGATTCATTATTTCGTAAGACGGCTTTAGTTTCTAAACGAATAACCTGAGACAATAAAAAAACAGGGAATTCATGAAAATAAGTAAATGGAAATTTCAATTTAACGTAAACTAAATAAGGCTTACCATTATTTTAATGAGTAGTTGGTTAAGAATAAATTTGATAAAATAACTTTTGAAATGAAAATAGAACAGTGACTAGTGAAGTGATGGCTCAGTGGTTAATGCGTTAAAATTCCATTCACTAGGTCATAGGTAGTAATCGAGTGGTAGAGCTAGCCCTCAATACGTAGAACACTCGAAGCTAATTAAACGAAGGTTTCTGATAAATAAGTATTATGATAATAGTATCAAATAGCAAACAAGGAATAGGTTTCTAATTGTTTGTTTGAATAAGAACTAAATGAAATTTTGTAGATTAAATTATGGATCATATTTACCGTAAGGAACAACGATGTTTATTAACAGAATGAACAAAATAAGTGAACAGAGGTGATAATTTAGGCTAAGTTTTCTACCATTATTGAGTACCAAGTAGACAAACAAGTAACTTAAAATTAATCTTTCGGGGGTTCAACCAATCAACTATAAGAAATATAAGACCCAGAACTCATAAGCGTAGATTTAATTTGTCATACATCAGGAACTTGAGGTGAAAACATCAAGATAAAAGGTTTCGACAAACCGACTGGAGATTAATGTTAGTAGAGATGTGCGTGACTAATTAGGTTTTTTTAAAAGTTGTTATTTTTGTGGTTTTTAAATGTAATTCCAACCAACCGCCTTAAGAAAGATGGCCAGCAATGATCACTACACAAAATATCTAAGTTTCACCAATAAAACAAGAAATTACTATCTGACGTATAGATGTTTAGTAATCTATCTTTAATTATAGTAACAATAGGACAGTGGTAACGTTTAATTACAACTAAATACAAAACGATAACAACTTTGGTGAAGTCCAAATTAGTATGAATATGTAATCCTGAAGATTCTACTTTATACCAAGACCTCGTTGATAGCTTAAGATAGCATAATTCAAAGTATCAAATTACGTAGACAGTAGGAACTTCATGTGTAAATGACGTATAGTAATTAGTATGATCCAGGGTTTCGCTAAGTAACTTCATTGTTAAGTCTGGTATGTTATTTATTTATTTAAGCACATAAATATTGGTACAAAGGGGCACCAGATAAATATGCGCCTCACAAATCTCATTTGATTTGTGTGACAGCTGTATTACTGCCCAGGTGCCCAGACTGAAGCAGGTGGTTTTCCTAGGGGGCTACACCCCGAGCCTTTGACCTAAAGGTCTGATCCACAAGGCAGTTGAGCATCGTGAGGAGATGCAGTCCCATGGTAGCCGGTTTGGTATGTACTTTTAATAATAAATATACGTATATGAAGATTGCAAAGAATCGGACCTTAAACGTTCCAAACTTTGAGAAATATTGTTCATAAACAAATATTTATAAGTAGCATTTCCTCGTCTATTAACAACGCAATTACAAAGTCACTGACATAACAGTGATAAACAGAAACTAAGTTACCACAACTATTACTTAAAATACTGAAACACCACAACTAGAAGCTCTAAAAACCAAACTGATAAAAACCTTATAATTTTTTAAACATTATTTTTCTTCTACTACTATGCGTGTATTGTTTAACCTACAATTGGTTGCTTCATTTATCATGTATTATGTTCTTAGATCCAAGGGTTATAAAGTTTTCAACTTCCATGCTCAACTACATCTAAATGCATTACATACATATATAGATAACTCCAGGATATTTTTATTGATTCTTTGATACAGAGAACAGAAATGGGCTTGACCATAAGAAAAACAAATAGCCCATGGTTTTCACTGTTTAAAAAACTTATCTTAGTATAAAAAAATACCCGTGTTATGAAGGCATTTCACACCTTATCTTTTATGAGATAATTCGGAACAATTAAGGAAGATTCTAAGGTTAAAGGCTTGACGTAGTGTTCTAACCGATTGTCGAAAGTTTATGTGGTAGTCTAGTTAACGATTTGGTGATGCATGAATGTCTATTTACGAGCAAGTAGTTATACGGCTACTATGGTATTTCAGGCTTAGAAAGTAGCAATCTAGACAACTTTCATTTCTGCCTAATATTGGCACTAGTAGATACCAATAAAGTTTCATAGTAATGTAACCGGATGAAACATTTGGAAGTCAAAGGATGTCATCATTAGTGCAGTTTGAGGCCAGATAAAGGAATTTGATAAGCGATCGCTGTTTTGATAGACTGATCAGTATGATCGTCTAAGTGCTGAGTTCATATAAATTATGGGCTCCTGATACGGTCGACGGTCTGGAGAGTCCGCTCTCCTCGAAAGGCTCTCACATGGCCATGCATACACAACCACTGCCAGGGAAGTCCTACTGACTGCCTTCTCGTGGCACTAATGTTGTTTACGAAATCAAGAGGGCGAAAAGCGAATACCAGGAGCTTTAACCAGGTTGGTGGACACGGAAAGTTCATCTAGGGGGGTTGGAAAACCCTCATTCCAAATCAATGGTGCACATGGGCTCTGCGAACCTGAGGGAACAAGAGGCGTATGGACCCATTGTTGGTCACCGACTACCATAGGACTGCATCTCCTTAACTTGTTCCACTGCCTTTTGGACTAGACCTTAAGATCAAATTCTCCGGGTGTGGCCCCTAAGGAAACCACCTGCTTCGGTTTGGGCACTCGTGCAGCATCACAGCCCTCACATAAATCAACGATGACTGCTACTGGCTTCATTGTTATTGTGTGGTGCACATGTATTTGGTGCCCCCTTGTACCAATGTTTGTGTGTTCAAATAAATAAAAATAATAAACTGAAAGAGCTAGTATATGAAGTAGAGCAATCTTTAATAGATGAATATGATTTTAGAAAACATCGCTCTTGTTTAGTAAATATTACTGCAAGAGGTTAACGATAACTAGGGGTAGGAATGCAATTCTGCCTGTAGTATATATAAGTAGATTAATTGGGTGTTAAACTTATAATAAGGATGTAAAAATTGTAAGCTGTCAGACTGAAGTGATAGAGGATAAAATAAAAATAGGTAGCATATTGTCCTCGTGGAAACTAGTGTTAAGTGAAGTGACTCAAGATGTCAACTAAGATAGTTTTCTTCTTCCAATTCATCGAGTAGGGTAAAGAAATCACTTAAGATACTTGAAAGTGGTGTTAAAGTACGAGGGAAAATGCGTAGTAGTGACGACAAATCAGTGTTGAAGGCTGGTTAGGTAACCTAACCTACAATAACTAGTGAGAGAATGCTGACCAGTGGAGAGGCGTGGTGCAAATCATCATGACTTACATTATTTTGTAGTTAATGGGGAGTTTTTATCGAGAATTGTATATTAAAAGGAGCCGAAGACTACGAAGTTATAAACCCAACTGGGAACCGGAATATCCCCGGTCAGTTAGTTGCTGAGCCTACTATTTTCATCGACAAATAAGTATGATTAAACTCAGTAAAGTCGAGTAGTATTAGAATTCATAACCTTTACAAAACCACTGATAGACTAAAAACTGCCATTTGGCATGCATGAATCAAAACTACTTGTAAGTCCACAATTATCTGCTTACCTCAGTGGGGTCACGCCGGTGAATTTCCTCCATTGTTTCTTCAACGCGATTCACAGGGAACCTATAGTAAAAACTTAGCATCATAAAGTTCAAACCTTGTATGTATAGTGTATAAGAACCGTTTCCAATATCGACTATTGTCTTTTGCAGCAATGTGTCTAGAATTGATCACGACAACATGATTTCCAAAGTCGGCTACAAATAAAAGCACAATATTTACGTACCACTAGGGTCGTAGTACCGAATATGCTTTCCCGTTAAATACTTCGCGATTCTTTCGGCCGACAGCATAGGACACTGCATGAAGGCGTCATAAATAAGCCATTCTCTAGCAAATGCCCTCCATTGCTAAAGTCTATGACTTAGGGGAATAGGATACGTACCAAAACTCTCCAATGTGACATCAGTTACTAGAGTAGCGCAGAAACTGATTTCTTACTGTCAATCGTTCGAATTGTCAATTGGTTCTGTACGGAATAAAGGAAGCTTTCGCTTAACGGGCTTCCGTATCTGATATAGGTGGATCAATGATGCTTCCAGGTAAACCCTAGGTATATTTAATGATAAAAGAGCGAAAAACTATTGAATGATAGCGAGACACTGTCCTTAGTTCGTAAGAATATGTCAAGTTTTCTCTTGAAGAAATCCTGAAAAGTAGCTTGAAGTAGCCCAGTCGGCAGTGAATTCCAGTATTTGGCTATTTGTAGGGAGTAGAAGGTGTGCCTATAGTCCATTCCGCTGTGTTGTCTTCAGTTTCTGGGTGTTACTCTTAAGGTTTGTATTGGGGTTGAGCTTATGTAGGTGTTTAAGGGGATGTACATAAGTATTTGAAATGCTGTAAGTCATTAGAAGGTCATATCTAAGGCGTCTGTACACTATCGTGTAAAGATCCAGTGAACTGAGGCGCTCTTCACAAGACTCGAACTTGAGTCCTCGAACTGATTTAATGGCTTGCTGTTAAACACGTTCTAGTGTATCCTTATCATTTTGGAGTGAAGGAGGAAACATTATGATTCTGTATACTGAGTGGGACCGAATAAAACTGAAGATTATGTGGAAAGTTCTTCCTTAGAATCGGCCAAAAAATGCGTTTCAACGTGACCAGTACAGGGTTTGATCGGATGGCATTTTTGTCACGGCGTAAGACTTCAGATCATGGGGCACCAACACTCTTAAGTCTTTTTAACTTGAGATACCTCTATGCGTGTGTTGCCTAAGTTTTCTTCGCTGTCTTTAACACTTCATATGAACTACCTTACACTTTGAATTGTTAAAGGTAAGTCCGTCGTTGCATGCTCAACTTTGAGGTCAGCTGAGATCTTCCTGAAGTTTCTTTTTGCCCTTTTGGTTACGGACTTCTGTCCAGTTTCATATAATCAGCGAAGAGTGATAAATCTGACGATATCTGCAGTGGAAGATCCTAGTACTGAACCCCGAAGGAACCCCACTTGGACATTTCATAGTCTGAGAGAAAGTGAAGTTAACTCTGATCTTAAAAAGTCGGTTATTTAAATATGAAGTAAGCCAGTCAATTAAACGTGGTTTGATGCCTGACCGTTCGAGCTTATTGATAAGACATATGTGATTGACCCTACCAAAATCCCTTATGAAGTCAAGGTATATGACATCAACCTTATCCTTGCGATCAGGGACTGATGTCCATATGTTCACCACGGTCAGCGGGTTAGTTATACAAGTGTGACCTGTTCTGAAATCGTGCTGTCGGGGTGAAAAGACGTTCATTGATAGTAAGGAGTTGCGTAGACCGTCACATATCAGCGACTCTATAATCTTGGAGGGTATTGAGAGAAGTGCTACTAGCCTGTAGTTTGAAGGTACGTCGAGTCTACCTCCGTTGAAAATTGGTGTAATGTGAGTCAGCTTTCAATTTTCTAGTAACATGGCTCGGCTCAGAGAATGCGAGATTACGATAGGCGGTGTTGCCGAGATTGAGGCTGCTCCCCTCAGCATAGCAGAGTGGACCGTATCCGGGCCAGGAGAAGTGTCATTGTTTAAGTGTTGCAGTTTCGGATACACCAAGTCAGAGATGGCGTTTACTTCTGAGGGTCCTATTAAGCTGCAGTTGAAGTTCTCATCAATACAGTTAGTACGAGTCCATTGATATGTCTCAAAGTGCTGTTGCCAAAATGTCGACGGCGTCGCCACAGTTGTTGGTTGGGGTATTATGACCTGGTGGTTAGGAAATTCCGGTTATAGCTTATCGAAGAGAGACTGAATGACGGAATAATCCCTTCGGATTGGAGACAGATTTATCGATTAGGTTTATCTTGTACTGCCTTCTCTTATTGTCCTTGTCAATATGTTCCTTAATTGTTTGAACTGCCTGTATTAGCTGTTGTTAAAAGTTTTTCTTGTATATAATTGTCTTTGCGAAATAACGACATCCCGGGAATCACTAGCTACTGGTCCCTTATTTGAGAAGATATCCGTGTTTCAGATACTCCTATCAGATGAGTATTATTAGCATTACTGAGTTCACGCGACTCATCCATTTTGTTCAGTCAGTCCACGGCGTCCATGTGTAGACAGTTTTTGCCTTCAATTAGAAACACATGGGCTTCCTCACCATCTTACCTCAGTATATATAGTGCAAGCAGTGTCGAGCCACCTAGACTGGTGGCCACATTGCACCTCGATCGATAGCATTCGATCAGCACTAAGAAGGACCTGACATGCATGAGATTGATCACCATCCAGTGATCAATCAATTGTAATTACATCTCAGTCCTACAGGAGGTTGGTCGCGGCCCGAATAGCTCAGTGGTAACGTCTCTGACTGTGAAGCTGAGTGACGCGGGATCGAATCCGCCAGGGAGCATCAGTTCCCTCAGGATTACAGGTACACCTTGTTGACGAGTGCCAAGTAGCACGAAACCCGGGTCCAGCGTTTCCTGTTGACCACCTCCAACCACCATCTTCCTCGTCTTGTTTGTTTGAATGAGCCTCATGTGAATGGGCAAGCAACCCACCTACACTGGGTTTTCCGAGTTTGTATCCCCTATCCCTTCTACGTCTCCTCAATGTTCCCAACAGTCCAAAGTAAAATAGTTCCAAGTTACTTTTGTGCATGATCCTTGCATCAATTGGTTTGTCCGAACGCAATACGAAGCCCAGCTGGCAACTGACGCCTGTTGGTACGGACTGCTTCGAGAGTGGCAGACGTTATATGGGGGGGCGGGTAGGTTATCTTCATTAACCGTAGTCCAGAATCACCGTCCCTCCTCGCAAGTCGCACCAATTATTGAGTCAATATGTTCTTGGGATTCAAGGACTGCTTTATGAATTTCCACCCCGGAGTATGTGAGTTTGTATAATCAGGGTCCGCGTTTTGGAAAGACCTTGCACAATTATGTTCCTGCTGCAAAGCAAGGTCTCGCGAGACTCCTTTGAGATGTCTTTGACGAGGTTGCGCTCAGAATACGGTTTTTTGGAATGTATTGTTGCATTACCATCCGATTACATCAAGTGACTAGACAGTAGGATATCCTCTACGTTGGCAGTGTTGGTGGACGTTAAACAAAGCATTCTCGCGTGATTCTTGTGTTTGAAGTCTTTCCCAAAAGTGAACTGAGTGACCATCAGTGGCTCAAGTTTGGGGGTTTGAACTTCCTGTACTCAGAGACCCAAGTTTGGTGTTATAATGGCGCTGAGCTTCAGTATGTTCGCTCTATTGTCGATACGTGTTCTATCGATACTAATGTTGTCGAAGACCCTCTTTTACACTCCACTGTTCTTCTTTGCTCGTTTGTCCGTTTCAGGACTGCCTTCGTCCTGGTTTGCTGACAACTTTTTTCGCAGGCCTGTCAAGAAATTGATGTTGCTCAGTAAATCCTCAGCATTCATGCTGCACGTGCCATACATCCACCTGAGGTCGGACTTACTAGGTCTGTTGTAAACATTCATCATAAGATATGAGCATGCTTTCTGAAATCAACCTCTGCATTTGTCACGCTGTATATCACAGGTGACAGAAAAGCGGCATCTGGGTCACTTGCATGAATTCTTCATGACCATGGTGATATGTGAGGTGTTAGATTAACCCTAGAGGATTTACGATCGTAAAACAAACAAAAAACATTACACTTAAAGCGGGTAGATTAAAACAGGTGGCACAAAAATTTAGGATACACTAAAACTGGCTATGTTGTAGGAAACTGTAAAATCCTAATAGTAGACTGAGACAAAACCACAGTCAACTATTAGTCTGGGCACAGTTCAAAAAGATAGATAATCTAACGAACGTCAAGCTCGGGACAGACCTTTTGGTTACAAAATGGTACTTTTGTTGTTTAAGGGTATAGGAAAGTTTGCAAAATGCAAATCATGTTATGACTTATATTCCCGTTCGTGAAGCGTGCAAGTCTGTCTCTTAAATCTGATTACAAGTCGAACAGCTGAGGCCAAATCACTACGAATAAATAGTAGAAATATGATAAAGTGAATAATTAAGCAATAAAAAGGAACGTAAAATGAACTTCCACTATTCTAAAGCTAATTTTAAACGTCAAATGAGATATAATCGACGTCCTGATTCCGTCTAAAGTTTCGTCAGAACAGAAATCTAAACTGCCTGTATTTGCTCTATTAATTGGTCTAGCGTTCATTCAGATGGATACTGTGGAATAATTGAAGTCGTGTGATGTGAAACTATAGAATCGTGGTGTACTTCATTATTAGTAGTGCTCTAATAATAGACGTAATCCTAAAATTGTAAATTTGTCATAGTGAGCCTACCTAATCTATAAGATCTTACATGGAAGTTATATCATTGTCTACACTGGCTTGTCTCATAGTAATCATCAACATATGATGGAGGACATATTTAGGCTGGAGATGGGACAATATATTTGTAAGATCCAAGCCTAGTTCCCAAGTAGGTATGATTTGTTGAATAACTGACGAGTAAAATTAGAGACGCGCACACCCAGTCGAAATCAGAACAAGGTGTTTTGGAGTAATAATGGTTCTAAATTTCATCATATATACAAATGTACAAATTTACCTAAACATATATTACTACCCAGTTATTCAACCGACAATTGATACCAAAATATTCAATCTAAACTACAATGAATAGCAAAGTGGTAAGAAATATATGAAAATTACCGAAAACACCAAAAGGTGAGTGTTATTCCATCTCTTCTGGATAGATCAAGTAAGATTCCGTTTGAGCGGCTGTTCTGTAACACAGTGTTTCAAATTCTGAGAAAGCGCTCCAATTTACAACCAAAAATGCGCGATCCCAGTCAAAATGAAACCGCACAATCAAAGAGCCAGCAGTCAATATGGCAGCTGCCAAAATAATAGCAATTAAAACAAACTAAATACAGTTCAGTAAGGAACATAGAGACTCAATAAAAACGATAGTAAAACGAAGAAAATTAAACGTTACAGTCTAAATTAGCATCAAAAAAGTTAACAATATATAGAAATAAAGAAAACGTAAGGAAGAAATCACAAATGTATGCATGGAGGGATTTTCACTTCCCAAATGGATCTAACAACATTTATCATGAATAAAAGAGACAAATTACACAAGAATGATCGCGCCTGCAAGGCTTAGCCATGCCATCCGATAAATAGAATTAATTCTTCCCGCCTTCTCCATTGTTTGTCTTTCCTCCGCGTTAAATGTTGGATATCTATATTCCCAGTTATCTCGCGTTCAGCTTTGAGAATTATGTGGTAAGTTCCTAATGCCACTAGAAAACTGTCCAGTGAATTTACGATTCAACTAGGTCAAAAGCCAAAAACGTGGTTAGTCCGAGATCAGTGAAGTTGCCTTTGTATCCTTTTTTATTTGTGATTACTTCAGGAAGGAAAGAGGGGATGTCGTTTGTTTAATTTTTACTGTTATTCGAAGTGATTAAGTCACATCGACTCCAGATATATGTTTAGGAGTACAGAGTTAATCACGCCAATCGCTATTCTGACAGATTCTAATGTAATCTTAGGGGCAGTTCATTTGTAGAATTGTGAACGTTTTCCATCACAACGCTGTTTCTCTGGTCACGGACTAGTGGACTGCATACAACACGTGATTTTTGTGTAAACGAGTATTTTCAACGGCATTATAAGTCGATGTGTTACTTACATTGTTGAATGCCGATCTACACGACTTTTATCAGGTGCGAAGTAACACCAAATAGTCTGTGCAAATCACCAGATCACTCTATCATGGTAAACAAACACTACTTTTGCTGGTCACTAGATACCCAATTGTTTGTCGCGACCAATTAGTACTAAAAATCGTCACTGTTAGTGGACCCATTAGTTTACAGGGCCAGTGTTTACGGAAGTCTGATCGTAGTTCATCTCTTTCTTCCCTCTTGGTTGTATCATCAGACATATTCTTGCGTGACAAGGCCTTATGAATCAATTAAGCTGCTCAAAAGGGAAAGATGATGGGGAACATGGTAGTGGTAGGACAATATGTAGATTACTGAATAACAATGCTTGTGATATAAAGTAATTTCGAGGCAATCCTCACATGATGCACATATGCCAATAAGACTATTCAGTTGCAGTCCTAATAACCAATGGAAAGATTCAAACGAACAATACAAAATGAATTTAAACTTTACTCCACTGCACAAGCTAGTGGCTATCAGGACTCAGTAGCTAAGTAGATAACGTGATAGCGTTTGAAGCGAGCGGTACTGAGTTCGAGTCCTGGAGTGAATGTCAACTCCGTGATGCAGATATATCCAGCTGCTGAGTCCGAAATAGGACGAAATTTGCGTCATGAATTTCACTGCTAACTATGATCCATCTTAGCTTATGATGATGATTGGATATCGCTTCACTGAAGAGCTAATCCGATTAAACAGAGCAAATAACGGTATTTTACGTCTCTCACAGCCACGAAGGAATCACTTTCAGCATAATCAGGACTCTGATTATGAGATAAGACCAGTTATGTCTAATGCATTCAGTTTGATGACCTTGAGTTGTTTTGTTTGGTAATTTTCTCTGGTACGTTTTCGATTCAAAGGCATAAAATGTTTAGCTTGACCGTGGGCGCGATCGATGTAAGGATACATTTTATTTCTAGTACTTGTATAGGCAATAAATAACGGCAAAAATGTAGAGGAGCCGGTTCTCAAACTGTTGGTAGCTTATAATTATTATCATAACTTGTCAGGGGTTCAAAAGTGTGCCAGGTGGTGGCGGTGGCCAAAATCGTTATCGGTTACTGCTCACTGATGGCGTAAAAACTCATTCATGTAGGTTTCTTATTTTTAACCAATACATGTAGTCGCCATGCTCGCTACACAGTTAAACCATTTGATTGAGGAAAACAAACTGGTCAACAATACTGTAATCCGCGTTAGGAAACATGTTTGTAATAACATCCAAAATAATAAGTATATTCGTTCTGTCAAAGTAACCGCTTTCTAGAGTTGTCCTTATTGTTTTGGATCTTGATATTCTTGGAACGGATGATTCGTCGGGTAAGTTGACATTTTACTCCAATTTGTACGCCTGTGTCCATAATTTGTCTATCTTTATTTGCTATTATTGTGATATCACAATTCTACTTATATTTTGCATATCGAAGTAGTTCCTGATTCCTGAGGTCTGGTGGTTTTCAGGTCACCTCTGACTTCAGGTGCGTCACCTATGAATGTCTAAATTAAAGGAGACATTGATGTATGAAGTCTCATTCCGAGCCGTAATGACCGTTATCAATTCCTCACAGTAATCACAAGGCCATGTCTGACAAAACAGAAGGTCATTAGTTGTAGGTTAGGTGTATTCGTTTCCCGATTTCGAGTATTATTTCATACTTGTCAAACATTTTTTCGTTACTTTAGAGTTGTATAACTGTAAATAGTTTTCTATTTCCGCATATACTATTATAAGTTCGTTTCTATGTGCCTTTCCTGATTCACTCTTGACATTGTGATGTGGAATCGCCCGCACAAAAACTTCACATGATTATAGTCCCGGGAAGTATTATTTATCTGTGTTAGTACTATGTTAGCGATGTTGAATTTAAGTTTAGGGTTCCTAAGGGTGAGAGCAGGTCAGTATGTTGTAAACCCTCATCCACCTGTATATAACAAATCATCACCTTACAAAGCAGATGGTTGGAGGAAGTATAGGTTGAAATGAGAGCAATAACCAAGCCATGATCTGAAACCAGTCTGGTTTATCATAGTCAGTTATCGTTAACGTGTTGTCTATGTTACCATAGAACGTTCCTGGATGTGGTCACGCCAATAGAGGATGTTAGTTGAAACAGCTAGTCTATGGGGAAAAATTGGTCTCTGATGCATTCAGCTTCAAATAATTCCCGAAATCATTTTATTACAATTCTTTACTTTTCGTGTTCCAGCTTTTTCAAATAGCATCTTTACTTGTCCTTCTTTTGCCTCTCGGTTTTGATTTCGGATTTTTTTACATCAGGCGTAGAAAGACGCATATAGTTTTGACTGGTCTTGCTTTAATTTCATCCGTCTGCTAAGGATCCATAATAACTGTCGATCTCACTAATTATTCTTTGTTGTATACCATATGTAATCCTAGGTTGTTAAACAACTTTCTTGTTATAAACTAGCTCTGGGTTGTCAACAATGGTAAAAAACTAATGATCTCAGAACTTACATTCAGTAGATACACGTTTTAATCTGAAAAGCTAAAATCACGGTGTTGGGTACACTGATCACAAGTGATGGGCTGTGTCCAATCAATATTTTCATATTCCTTATACTAGTGTGACTAAAATTTCTCAACTAATCGCTTTTCTTACTTTATAACCAAATCCACCATTGTAGTTTAGTGTGCTTAAGTCCTTTTTTCACATGACTCAACCAGTAAATTCTGTTGCAAGTCACAGAAAACGAGTGTCATAGTTACCATAAGTTGACTACTTATGCGGTTAGTTTCTGATAAATCCTTAACTGATTTGTAATTTTCCACTATGTTCAGCGTAATTCGATGTCACTATACGTGCTTCTTGATTTTGTGGAAAGTAACAGCATGTCATGACAACTATCTTTCCTGTTAATGTAATACATCAAATGCATATTCTTACGCGGCTTCAAGATCTTTTGCCTATTTCCGGGCTAGTAATAGTACACGTTTGTCCAAATCCAAGCAGATTTCACTAAGTGATGTAGTCAGTAAGCTCCTGATCCTCACAAGCGAGTATTAAAAATTTCTTTACTACTAGATAAAAACTCCCAAATACTGTAAAATATGATTACATTGTGGTATATGGAGATTTTTGATCGAAATTGTCATACATCTGATATGCTTTCAACAATAAGTATTGTTAACTGGAAGTGTAACCAACTATTCCAAGTTTCTTTAATTTTAGTGATAAGTTTTTTACCATTTAGTACTTTTTCTGTTTAATTAGGTGGTGTGAAGTCCGAACAACCACCAACCGTGGCCAAACCAGCCACAACTACGTCTCATTCATGTGAACCTGAACAGAAAACTCCACCCAAATCTTCTACTGGTCCTTTCTCTGGTGGTCAGCCAAGTACTCCTGGAACACCAGGTTGTGGGCTCCCACGTGTATTTCCCATACAAAGCCTCAATCCGTATCAGAATAGATGGACTATACGTGCTCGTGTATCACAGAAGTCTGCTATCCGAACTTGGAGCAAACAAGGTCGTGATGGAAAGTTATTCAACTTTACGCTAGTTGATGAAAGCGGTGAAATCCGTGTAACTGGATTCAACGCTGAAGTGGATAAATTTTATGATATGATTGAGGCAAGTAACATGTTTGTCATTTGGGTAAATATCTGAATTTTCATGCAGTCGATTCATTTCTAACGTCTACTTAAAACAGATAGCTATACGATAAGATGGCAGTATTGACGGAGAATTTTTAAAGGGCTGCATTATTTGTAGTACTGGTACTGCATCAATAAATACATATCATTAATCATCACAGATTTTTGAGATGATTGCCAACACTAATCACAAATATTCGAATACTTCACACTTGAGTGTAGTTGGTCTCTCTATAGGCCCACAACCCACCATTTCCTACTTTCTGTTAGAAGAATTCAGATTACATTTTATAAGCGTTATCACCTGACTACACTGTATGGTATCCATACATCAGATTGACAAATCAATCTCTGATAAATGCAAAAGAGTAATTTTTACACTTACTAACTCTAAAAAGAAACTGTTAGTAATAGACGTCATTACTTGTTCTCAGCTCGGATACCAACTTCTGATTAGTTCCTTTATGATGTAAGTGGAAAATTTCCATGTTGAGGTATACATTTTCGAAAATTCCTGGCAGGAAATTTGCTGCGTGCAAGACCTTTTGATCGTTGGGTTCAAGTGCTATCACCAAGTGGTAACATGTACTAAAGAAAATCTAAATCTAAAACTCACCCAGTTCTCGTGATTTAACCTTCTTCATCTTCTAGTTAGGAGTCAAATCACTGCGAATCCTAGGATTATAGAGATTATGTCGTTGAGGTTGGTTCTTTTTTTGCACGAAATTCATACTGTGCGAATAACTGTCATAATTCAAAGATTGGATGTACATTTGGTCATCTATAGATCGGTTTAAGTACCTTTTTTGTTAAGATCATATACCCCTGTTTGACAGGCTTGTAAATCAATCTTGGTTTCATTGAAAAGATCTAAAAGGAAGCTGGCAGACGTTGATCATTATTATTATCATTATCGTCGTTCTAGTCGAATGCACTGAGTTCAAGTTATCTGATAATTCTTATATGGTAAAGTGACACATTCACATGTTGTTTAAAAACAGAACTCATTCAGTTTGTTGGTAGCAGTCTTTATTTAGTTCATTTACCAGGTATGGATTCCTGTAGTTAGTTAACTTTGATGCAGATCTTAAATTTGAGGGATAGCGATTCTATCCCTTCTCTCAAACTGATATAGATGAAGTGGGGTTTGAACTTCGGACTTGCTGTCTGGAAGTCGAATTTATGAACATAGATCCACTGCTCTAGGTTGACACTAAATTTACTCGCTAAGCATTCTTAGATTAATTTTTATTCGTTGCTCTGTGTTCCTATATCACCTTTCCTATAGGTTAATAAAGTGTACTATGTCAGTCGAGCGAACTTGAAAGCCGCTAACAAACAATTCAATACAACTAATAATGATTACGAAATGACACTTCATAGCGATAGTCAAGTTTTGCCTTGTGAAGATTCTGATACTAGTTCTTTGCCAGAAACTCACTTCAATTTTATTTCAATAGGAAAGTTAGATACACAGTCTCCTGGATCTTTTGTCGGTAAGGAATAATTTTTTCCTTTATAATTGTCAAATTCGTAAAAAAGTGTATTAGAAACACAAATAAGTACTGTTGTAGTTGTCAGTGTATATATGAAGAGCTTTCAATCTATTATTGTATTTATAACCTGTTATCGTATTAAAAATATCATAAATTGTTTTGTATTCAATTTAACGCCTAGATATTGTTGGAGTTGTTCATGAATGCGGTGAAGTACAATCAATTACTGCTAAAGCATCTCAACGTGAACTACGTAAACGTGAATTAGGATTAGTGGATAGTTCTAACTGTTTAGTACGTCTTACACTATGGGGTGAAGAAGCAGAAAATTTCGATGGTGCGAGTCATCCTGTCATAGTTATAAAAGCAGCAAAAATATCTGATTTTAATGGTATGTTATTCCTGAAGTATTTTTTTAATCTATGATTTGATCACTTTATGGCTTGAGGGAGCTGTACTTTTTACTACATGTATTCCTTTTACGTAGTATTCCTCATTCATTTCAATGTTACACAAAAATACTAACCAATTATCTTTCAGTACTGTCATGCACTATTTAACCTTACTGGATTGTTATATCTTGTTATTCATTAAATAAAATGCTAAACTTTTTTTTACTATGAGCTAAAGTTCAACTAAATTCATAATTGCTCTTAGTAACTCGTTTTGATGCGTTATAAAATCGAGAATGCTGTCCAAAATTTTTATTATATTATAAAGCTCAACGTAGAAGTATTGAGTACATAGCCATAATTGGATGAAAATCGGTAATCTTTTGGCTACCAGCTATCAGTTCTTCAGTGAAATCGAATTTTCCACCCTATTAACAGATGTCTGTAAAGATTGCTTTACTAATCCTGGAAAGGAACAGATCGTAAGTAGTAATAAATTCTGAACCATTCATTAAGGATTCTATACATAATAAACTGCTAGATAAATACGGAAATTATAGAACTAGGTAAATCAGTGCGTATTCAAAGTCTTCTGCTCTCACTAGTCCTTTATTAGACATGATGTTTTGGACATATCTTACCTTGTAGCATATATTACTTGTCCCCAAACCTGTAACTCTAAAATATTCACAAAGGGGAGCCGTTTACATTAATTGGTCGGTATCGTGTTTGTCTAGTTCTTAGAGTCGACTGAATTCTATCGACCAAGTTGCAATGTGGTCACTAGTATAAGTAACTCAGCATCGCGTGCCGTGTACCTTTGTTGAATGATTGGAAGTAGTTGACAGTGGTAACGTCTCTATGAAACTTAACGATCCGGGTTCGAATCCACTAGAAGCTATCAGTGTTTTAGAGATTGGTGGTACGCTTTATTAATGAGTGCCAACTAGCTTGAAACCTAGGTCAAGCAGCTTCTCCTGTCGCCTACTACCCCCAACCATCCAACGATAAGCAGTTCATTACAGCCTGTCTTAAGGACCTATAACACAATAGATTAAAAGTTTTATTGATACTGACTATTGGTTAGTCAACGTCTTAAATAACCTAATGTGATATTCTTCTTAGTATAACTTTTATTTTCAGGTCGCTCTTTATCTGTAAGCCCAACATCATCCCTTCTCATTAGTCCTACAAATATTCCTGAAGCTATACGACTAAAAGGTTGGTATGAACATGAAGGTCGCTTCTCTAACTTTGAAACCTTCCGTAGTGAAATGGTTGGATCTTCAGGAGGAGCAGATGGTGTATCTAGTTCATCTGGTGTTCTTGGCGGTTGGAATCTTTTACAAGATGTTAAAGCATCTGGTGTAGGAGCTAATGTAAAAGCAGATTATTTCACTTGTAAAGTGAGTAGATTTCCTTTTCTTCTTTGTTAAAGCTTATGTTTGCTCACAATACGGTTTATAAATGACATATTATCACACAGGAAAGCTTAAAATTAAATAGTCAATGGTACAAGTCATCATTTATCAATAAATTCGTACTATTGATTCAGTGTATTCTAGTAATTCTTAGAAATGAGAACCATTGAATGTTACAATCTCTCACTGCTTATACAACACAACGTATTGTCGAGAGATGTTGTGTTTTAGTCAACTGAATTAAAAAAATGTGAATCCTTCATCTTGGTCGATTTATATTTTCTAAATAAAATCTTGCCAAGTACCTTGTAAACATATCATTGTAAACCTTTAGTCTTAGCTTCAAACCTGTTGGTACTCTTGATCAATAGGTTTATCCTCACTTTTCCTAAAAAACGGTTTTTGTGAACATCTAAAACACATTTCTAACATTGTGCTCGGGAAGTAAGAATTTAGCACATATTTACTCATTTTGAATGATTGTATTGGATTCTAAAGGTTATGTTACTATGTAGTTCGAGACGTTATCAGACATGATTAAAAATACAGAAACCAGTAGGATATCCTATCGTAATTTCTTATTATATTCTTCATGAATAAGGAAATCCATCTTTCTGACGAACATAGTCCATTTTAGTTGTGTTCATTTAATGATTTACTCTCCGTATTATTATAAGGTGAAGTGAGTTGTATATTTGTACTGATGATGCTACCTAGACACAGGGTATTAGGGAATAATGGTAAATCAGTTGGTGAGGTTGTGAGTCTTCATCGACTGAAATGGTTGGGCCACGTATTACGTATGCCCAAGCACCGACTACCACGGCGTATAATGCTGACTAGTGTTGGAGATGGATGGCAGAAAGTTAGAGAAGGCCAAACCAAAACGTGATACCAGTCCATAAAGTCACAAACTTCTTGTCTGAACCATGTTGGTAGATGCAGACTATTTGGTCGGGGTTCACGCGACTATCTTAACCAATGGTTGGAGATTCTGGGTGACATAGCTCAGAATCAGTTATAATGGCTTAGGCATATACACTCTTTGTCTTCCCTTACACTGTGAGATTACTTTATACTTTTCTACCAACTAATTCTTTCTCCCTGTATCATATCCTTATATGCAATTTTTTATATATTGCTACCATTAAAGTAACTACTATGAATTTGGTGTTTATCTTGTACCAATAAGGTATGGAAATTTGGACCGATGGGTGTATGCGCCTGGTCCTACATTGTAGATGACTGACTGCCACCATTCTAACTAAAGTAGGATTTGTAATTATTCATTTGCAACCGGATGTCTTAATACTGAAGAACCTCGTTTAACATTTGCCGTAGTAATGATTTTTTAAAACTTTCGTGCTTATCTCTCCATTGTACTGAAAACTGATGTCCTATTGTGATTTGGATAATTTTCCCACTTAAATAGTCTATTCATTTTCGGAATCGATCATTGTTTTATTTTTTTGCCTCTATACTTTATGTATTATGATATATTCAACTTATAGGCCACTGTTGTATTCATGAAAAAGGAGAATTTCATGTATCAAGCTTGTTCTACTGAAGGGTGCAATAAAAAGGTTATTGATTTGGGAAATGGGTTATATCGATGTGAAAAATGTGCTCGGGAAACACCTGATTGTAAATGGCGCTTGCTTCTTATGGTAAGTGTTACCTTTGTTGTTCTACTTAAAAACTATCATGTTTAACCCCACTGGTACCTCCCTATAGCATGCTTTCATTTTTTATTCTTTAAAAAGTATTAGTACTTGTAAATCGTATTCTTTATCATTGCGATGTTTTTTTTCCAAGTGCAATATGTAATTTTATATTAAAGGCTGCTGTTATGTGTCCCCAAATGCCCTGGTACGGCCGAGAGTGGGGAGAGTCCGCTCTCTCTCGAAATGCTCCCACATAACCACGCGTATATACCCTCTGCTGGGAAGTCCTACTCACTACCTACTCGTGGCATTACGGTTTACGAAATTGAGAGGATGAAAAGTGAATGTCTGGCGCTTTAACAGGGTTGGTGGACACTGCGAGTCCACCTAGGGGAGTTGGAAAACCCTCATTCCAAATCAATGGTGCACATGGGCTCGAGTATCCCGAGGGAACAAATGACGTGTGGATCAATTGTTGGTCACTGGCTACCATGAGACTTCATCTCCTTACGATGCTCCACTGCCTTGTGGATCAGATTTTTAGGTCAAATGCTCCAGGTGTGGCCCCCTAAGGAAACCACCTGTTTCGGTTTGGGCACCCAGTCAGTATCACAGCCCTCACACAAATCGAATGAGATTTGTGTGGCGCATATATATCTGGTGTCCCTTAGTACCAATATTTATGTGTTTAAATAAATAAATATTGAAAGATATATTTCAAATAAAGCTCTATGTCATGCCAATTTCTACCATAAATAATCATAAAACTCCAATTATTATCAAACTTCAGCCTATTAGCAGTATTTAAAGAATGTAGGGATGCAAAATGTTTTGGGTTTTTTATATTATACATTAGAGACTGCATACCGTGAAGAAAAAACCTCAATCTAAGAAAGTTTAATTTGGTGACTATATAGTTTTCTCTTATGGTGGCTACAAATAATCGATAGGTGTAGTTGTACACTAACAACCACCTATATTGTGCTTGTCTTACACGGATCTCAATAATTACTTTAACATCTAGATCTCTTAAATCGTCATTAAAGAGATACCCCCAAATGCCCTGGTACGGCCGAGATCGGGGAGAGTCCGCTCTCCCTCTCGAAATGTTCTCACATGGCCACACGTATATAGCCTCTGCCAGGGAAGTCCTACTCACTGCCTTCTCCTGGCATTACTGTTGTTTACGAAATTGAGAGGAAGAAAAGCGAATGTCCGGCGCTTTAACCGGGTTGGTGGACACTGCGAGTCCACCTAGGGGAGTTGGAAAACCCTCATTCCAAATCAATGGTGCACATGGGCTCGAGTATCCCGAGGGAACAAATGACGTGTGGATCAATTGTTGGTCACTGGCTACCATGGAACTGCATCTCCTTACGATGCTCCACTGCCTTGTGGATCAGATTTTTAGGTCAAATGCTCCAGGTGTGGCCTCCTAAGAAGACCACCTGCTTCAGTTTGGGCACCCAGTCAGTATCACAGCCCTTTCACAAATCGAATGAGATTTGTGCGGCACATATGTATCCGGTGCTTCCTTGTACTAATATTTATGTGTTTAAATAAATAAAATAAATAAACACTAAAGAGACGATTCTTTATGTTAACTCACCATTCATCTGAATTAAGAAATGGGAAATAATTGCCAAAAGAAGAACTTATTAGACAATTCTACATATATAAAGATGGCCAGTTGTACCTAGCATATTTTATTCTGTGTAACGTCATTAACGAATATATATATATATATATATATATATATATATATATATATATATATATATATATATATATATATATATATATATATTAAAACTCAAACTAATGAACTAGACGTCACACAGTAAACTAAGTATGTTTAATAAATATAAAACTCAAAGCTACAAGAGTATCAGTAGTTTGTGATTGTTAATGGAGGTCTATTAGATAGATCCCACAGTATTCTTGACTGATGACACCCATCGAAATAGTTCAACTCTCAAGGCTAAATTACGCTGCCTCATTTATCAACAAGTTGAACGTTTAGTTGATAATGACATTTTGAACTTTAACGATCAAAGTTGCTAGTCAACAACTTTTAATTGTTACAAAGGGTAGTTGGCAGGAGACTTTGCTTGACCTTGATTTCACGTCAACAAGGTTTACTTACAATCTAATGTCCTCTGGTAGATTTTAACCTAGGTCACCCAGTTTCTATGGTCGCATATGTTATTATATGTTATATATTATTTCAATTTCGACTTCTCTTCTGTAAGACTGAGATATTAATTTATCACTACTCAGAATTGCAGTTGTGAAACTTTACACCATGAAATATTTTCAAAAGGTTGTGTAGGATAAATGTTGGTCAGTTTAGAAAAACGTGACTCAGAATTATAAAGTTAATCATACCGTTCTAAGGAACATTTGAACTGTTTTTTTCTAATATAGACCGTATCGATTGTTCGAGTTAGTGGGTTCACTTATAATTTCTATGGCATGTCTACCTACCTTGACAATTTTTAAATATTTGAATCTGTTTTTAGGCCAAAATCGCTGACATCACTGGAGATTTATGGGTTACATGTTTCCAAGATGCTGCTGAAGTTTTACTGGGACAGACAGCTGAAAAGTTAGGCACTATAAAATCAACACAAGTAAATATTTCTTCCTCTTGTCTTATCAACTATTCTATATTGTTTGGTGTTCGGTTTATTAAAGTAACTTTCTTATGTACAATTGATTGTTCATTGAGTAGTCATGTTTATCTAGTCCTTTAGTGCTTATCCCAGGAAAAGAGATAGCAGCGGTATCAATAGGGATGGAAAGGATTAGGTTATAGAGAGAAGAAAAAAAGTCTAAGAAAATTTGGAGATTTTCGATCTAAAAGAAGACACAGTGAATGCATCTGCACAATGGTGGATTATTCTGAGCCATATTGTTCAACGCCTCCAACCACTGCTTACGATAACCGCGCGGACCCCAACCGAGTGGTCTGCGTAAGGCTTAGTCCAATTATCACTAAATTCATCACTGATACTACGTTTTTGTTTAGCCATCTTTGCTTTCAGCTTATACCAGACAACATTGCCCTTCCAGATAGACAGACAGTAGTGGTTAGGCATATACGATACATGTCCCAACCTCCTGAGTTGATGAATATTCACTAAATCATAAACTGATTTGTTACATTTATCTAGACCACTATACCCAACAAATATCTCTGAAGAGTTCCTTCAGAAATATTTCCGATTCAAACTTAACCATAGTTGTTCTCTCGTTATTTCTTCCCTTTAGGATGAAACGCAGTTGGAAAAAGTTTTCATCGAGTCAGCATTCAACTCATGGATATTTCGTTTACGAGCTAAAGTTGATCGTTATAATGTAAGAAGGCGTTGATATGTCCTATTTCTCTTCTTTAATATATTAATTTAAGTGTATTTATTTCCCATTCTATGTTTGTCGATTCCCATGGATTACCGGTTTGTGCTTTTCTTAATTATCATTGTATCGGTACATGGATAAGCAGGACGAAAAAATATTTATAAGGATCTCTCTACACACACACACACCTTATAGTATTATTTTTAGTTTGACTTGTATTATCATGTTCTCTGAGTTGTATTGATTTGGTTCTGCTGGATCGAAATCTAATGATCCACATTTCAAAATTAAATAACTTCCTACTACAATATGGTCCTTATCTAATTTCAAGATTACATATACGTCTTGTTGCCATCTTAAACTACTCAGCATCATTAGTAAATTGATACCATATTCTCGAATTGATTGGTTCCCTAAATTATCGTTTCTTAAAAATATAACTATAGTTAGCTTAATTTGAAGTTAGTCACGTTATTATTATGTATGGACGAATGTACGCTCAAGTGTAAACACTTTGAATATCTTAGTAAAAACTCCATATTATCATGTGTAGTTTACTTGACGAAAGATACTGTTATTGATTCTGTTAGTAAGTTCCCATATCTTTCCGAATACTTTCTAACGTTTATTTCATTTCATTTATTATTATTATTAGCTTTATTCAGTATTATATTTTTGGTACAATATAGAATTCTCAGCACAAAGTACTTCAACAAGTTTCCGTTTCTTACTTCTTCGTCCTTCCTGGCGATAAATATTAAGTGATCGCCAGTTAGAAGTTAGCAGCCCAGTCAATCGACATCTGAATAATTTACATTCTTCTCGCTGCATATTGTCAGCAACCACGATATCTTTGATTAGGCCTTCTGTAACCTTTACAGCGAAAAGTTTTACACTTTTCAGAAACGCACCTGAATAAGTTGTGCGATTAATAGCCACATATATCAACATATATTACCAGTTATTTTATGGTACATTTTCAAGTCTACTTCCCTTAAATTAAATTGTGTTAAATTTCTTTTTGTATACATACAGGATGAAGAACGTTTACGTGTTGTTGTTGCAGATGTTAAACCGGTAGATTTGGTTGATTATTCTAGGCGTTTATTGAAAGCCATAAACGATCTATCAGCAACTTTATCTATTTAGTAAAAAAAACGATAAGCAATAACTGCCGGTGATGATGATGATAATTTTCTCTGCTTCCATTCATCAACACATAAATAAAGAAGGCATTTTTCTTCTCTTTTTGGATTTTAAAATAAAATTACATTTTATTTTCAGAGTAATTAAACTCCATTATCACTTGTATAGTTTGAGCATTTACATATTGTATACATGAAGAGATTATCTTAGATTGAATTGGTTTTATGTATTGTTTCATATGTCATTATAGCTCAGATAAACAGTGAAATATAAATATATGTGTGTATCTACCTCGATAAGTAATTGTTTTTTTCATTGTGAGTTTTCTGGCTATGATATCTAGTTAGAATGTAAACCTGAAACGATTGAATAATTGAAGATTATATATATTATATGTATTGCTAACTAAATTCCAACCAGTTGTTGGCTTTTTTATTTAAACACAAACATTGGTACAGATAGGAGATTGATTATGAATACAGTGATTTTGAGTACTGTTAGAGGTACGAGGGCAGTTATCACTTCCCGGTTTCCCACACCGTAGAAGGGTATTTCTAGGGGTACCTGAAAAGGAAATTGGGTTAGAAGTGGTCTTAATGACCTGAGAGCGTGACCGCAGTGCCCAAGGGACAACTGCTTGAGGTCGGTTACACACGACCTTTTTGTGGGTAGTTTTTGTGTTAGCTCCGTACCCGTTGGGACCTTACCGCCGGAGACGGATATCCTTGGGATAATGCGAGGTGTGCATTTTCTAACCCCACACCTCCTTGTGGGAAGGCAGCATCGCTGTTATGCTGCTTGTTTGAAGGAAACACCTTACCGCCGTCACACCTCTGTACAGTCGGCAGTATGACTTCGGACCTTGGGTTTGCTGCTTTTAGTCTTACCGTTCTTCAATCGACCTGTCTGGCATGGTAGGACCTTGAGGAACGATTGTTCCAACCAGTATAGCTCGATTGGTTCATCACGATAGGTAATCCCGACTACCGCGTCAAGGTAGCAGCAACAGTCGGGTAAACATTGGTACAAAGAGGCACCGAAAATATATGAGCCATACTTCATCATTCGACTTGTGTGAGGGCCGGGATACTGTCCGGGCGCCCAAACTGAAGTAGGTGATTTTCTTAGGAATCCACTCCCCGAGCCTTTGACCTAGAGTTCTAATTCACAAGGCAGTGGAGCATCGTGAGGAGATGCAGTTCCATGGTAGCCGGTGACCAACGATTGATTCATACGCCATTTGTTCCATCAGGATACTGGAGCCCATGTGCACCATTGGCTTGGTATCAGGGTTCTCTAACTCCCCCAGGCGAATCCTCCATACTCATCAACCCGGTCAAAGCTCTGGATATTCGCTTTTCGTCCTCTCAATTTCAAAAAGCACTTCCACCGCGGGAAGGCAGTGAGTAAGTCTTTCCTAGAGATCGACATTGTTTGGTCTTGTATATTTTAAAAAATTGTTAAGAGCTAGCCTATATGGTTTGAATGAAGTAAAATATCAATTCTATAGATAGCTTTCGAATCTCAGGAAAAACATGCGAGTCTTTTGATTTCTGAGTCCAAAGAACAGATAATGGTGACTGTTTCAACTGTGTTTAACCAACCGATTAATTGTAGCAAGTGCAACATTTAAACGGCAATGTGCTCAAATATATCAGTGTTATCAACCATTATTAGAATTCCCACTAAAAAACTGCCCTAGTGAGAGCGCGAATTTCTATTCATTGTACCTAAGAAAGTAAATGCAGGAAAATTCCTTAGATATCAATTTGAAAGTGAGGAGGTCAAAAATGCGTTCAAAGGAGAATTCTCGAAGTAAATCATCGATCGTAGAGAAAGTTTGTCATGAAGAAGCTTGTGTTGATATCTAATGAACTGTAAATGCAACAGTAGTATCTACCGATAACTCTAATCAAAAGGTGAGGAAAGACTAGTGTGCTTTTGACGAACTGATATATACTCGGAAACGTATCTCATCAGGCTCTGAACACCATGAAAAGCGATGATAACACAAACGTAGACTAATAAAATTACCTAAGAATTGCGACTAGTAACAGGGAACTGTAGTAGGAGAAATATAAAAGTCGGCAGCCGTAAGTACCAGGGAAATAGCTATTGGACGTCTTTTGGTTAGTAAGACCTTATGGAGAAAAGCTCAGACTATTTTTCACTAGCCTCTATAATCACCCAATGGTTAACTAATGCTTATGTAGAAGTTTACATGGAGGAAATTCATGATACACAGAACGACAATGAAAGCTCCAGAACTAGACCTTTTAGCTCAAAGAACACAATACCAAGAATGTTGGTATGTCTCAATCTCAACATGATTGGATTCCATTTTTCACCCCTTAGAGTCGAATAATCCACAAATATGATTTAACTGCAGATTGTATAAGAACTAATGAACGTTTCTTTCCTAGCTATCTATTTAAATCTTTTAATTAAAAATAGCCATAGTTGTTGACCTGTTTATATTCTATATGAAGTCGAAAACAACATGTATTCCTCGTAAATATATCTCATAATAAATGAACTAATTCCTGACTGAAAATTTCACCATGGAATCTGATAGATGGAGACAAATTCGAAGGTTTAAATTATTACGGACGGTAGACCAGCTCAGCATTAATCAGTCATTTTTATTATTCTACCTTGTTAATATTAATCCAGAGTCGTATACACACTAAGGAGCTATTAACTCATTATAACTTCATAGTTGAAATCATGAGTCAATTGTAGCTAGACAACCATGGAAAACCTAGGAGCACTGGACGCCGGTTCTTCCTATTGTGGGACTCCTCAACAGCGCGCATCCACGATCCCACCCCGCGAGATTCGAACCCAGGACCTACCAGTCTCGCACCAGAGCACTTAACCGATAGACCACTGAGCTGGCCGGCATCCAACGGTGTTAATGTCTAACTTCAAACAATCCACGAAGTTGAACAACCGTTCACCAATTGTCTTCAGTGAGTTGTTATCTCACAACAGACGTGGTTGAGCTCCACTGGTCACTGCTTCGCACTAGAACTCCAGGATATGTATTTTGAAGTCAGTCACTAGTGAGCACCGCTGAGGAGTCCCATAATAGGACGAAACGGCCGTCCAGTGCTTTCAAGTTTTCTATAGTGGTCTAGCTTCAATTGACTCATGATTTCAACTATGATAATATTGAAATCTTCACAAAACCCCTTCTGATTATTATAACTTATTGAAAAAGTATGTAGTGTATATAGTATCAGTTTATATTCTCTGATATGTTATCCAAGGAGTGAGTATAAACTCTTTGTAAACAAGTGCTTTAATTTTTCCGTAAATTACAAGTTCAATATCTTGGACATTAAAGTACAAATTTGATTCATTATTATCAGTAGTAATAGTAGTAGTTGTAGTAGCTAATGCAAGAAAATAAAAACAACGTCAAAGTACTATATTGGAAAGTGTTCTGTATCAGTTATTTGATTATATAGGTAAAATGAAATCTTTTCTCTTTGTATATATGTTTATGCTTCTCTTATTATTGATTCAAAAATAGTTCTCATCCCTTCATTAATCACCAGATGAAACATTCATTGATTATTTCAGTCTGTTTCATCATCACTGACATTGTGATTGTGTTCATTATCATCGTTACTACTATCACCTGTCACGAAAGGTGATATTGTAGTTGTTAGTGATGATGATAACATTTCCTGTCTATTAGATGAATTATTATTATTGTTCGACGTAAAAAAAACTGTTGGGGTTGTTTGCTGTAATGCATTCAAACGTAATCTTGCTAATAAACGTGTTGTTGAAATTAATGGGGATGAAGATGATTGCGTAGTACTAGTTGTTGATGTTACAGATATGTTGTACTGATTATTATTATTATGTGAATTGTAATGAGTGAAAGGATTAGTAATAGTTTGCTCCCTGTAGGTCGGTGTAAGAAGTGTTCGCGGTAAGTCTCTAGTATTGTTACTATTAACTGAATTAGGAATGTTTGAGTTAATTGACTGAGATGTGTAATAATTCTCTTGGATATCATTATCATATACATTTGTTCTGTGAATATTTCTTGGAATGCTTGAAGTATGCTGATTGTTACCTTCGGTTAACTCACGATTTACTGTATTATTCACATATGGTGCAGGTATACCACTTTCCGTATTTTCACAAAATAAATTATTTGGATTTCTTAACAGTCGATTTCTTGTACCAGTGTCTAAATTTGGAATTAAAACACGATTTTGTCTTTCTTCTAATTCCATTGTCATAAGACGAAGCATTGCAGCTAATTGTTCACGTGTTTCTCTTAATTGTTCAACTACTCTTCTTTGTCTTTGAGGTACTAGACGTCGAAACTCAAGTGGTCGATTTGTTCGTTGTACTGAATTATTTATTAAAAGTGTCTGAGTATTACTATCATTACTATTATTAAGTAGCGGCTGTGTATTTAAATTACAAGTGAGTGTCTCATTAAATCTGATAGCTGGAAGATTAATTTGATTATCTGAATGTTGGTCCGTTACATTTAACTCAGTATGATCTCCCATGAAATTCTCTTCTACACCTTGATTGTGAATATCATTGGAATTCACATTTAGTAAACTGTTTATTTCAGTCGAATTTAATTCATTGTGGTATACTGGAGAGGATCTATGAGTTATTGATTGTTGTACTTGTTCATCTCTTATCTGTTGTTGTCTTCTTAAATTAGGTAATCTTTCAACACGTACTCTAGAATCTCTTACATTAATTCGTTGTCTATGTCCATCATTATTTGTTGTTCCATTTGTATGTGTATTTGATGTTAAATGTGATCTTGTTCGTCTATAATGAACTGGTGTATTTAAAATTCTTTGTTGGTGTTGTTCTCCTTGCGATTCATGTATACGTGTATGATTAATAGTAGTTCCATGTGAATTATTTATTCTTGTTTCTTCCATGTTATTATTATTATTATTATTATTATTATTATTATTTTCCAATTGATTTAGACTCTCACTTGTATTTAAAATGGATCGATTTTGAATTCTACTGTGTCTATGCCTGTTCCCATTTCTTAATGGCCGTATATGCCTTTGTGACGTTGTTGTTGTTGTTGTTAACAATCTTTGGGTTGAAGTCTCAGATAATTGATCAGTTGATTGACTAATTGGTTCACATATAGTAGGTACTTGTCCAAGATTATTGTGAAGAAGTGAGCTATTATTATTATTGACTTGTAATGATTCATTTCTTTGTGGTATATCATTGAATTTGATAGGTATTTCTTTATTATGTACTATTTGATTTGGTGTTGTTATTGGAAGTAAAGATGATGATTTCATTTGATCTTTTTTACAATCTATTAATAATAAATCTAATTCATATGGAGTATAACGTCGATGTTCATGTTGTTGATATACACTTAATGAACCCATCCAATTACAACCATCCGTTGGACATCGTATACGTTTTTTATTGATTCTTTCATTTAACTATAAAAAAATTTACAAAATAAAGAAACATTAGAATAACTATTTAATTTAATTATAATAATTATTAAAAGTGGTCATATTCAAATAGGATATGTATTATGTAACGCGTAATAGTCGCATAACTTTACACGTAAACGTGACTAATGTAGGCTCAATGGTCTATCGGTTAAGTGCTCTGGTGCGAGACTGGTAGGTCCTAGGTTCGAATCTCACGAGTGCGGGATCGTGGATGCGCACTGCCACTGAGGAGTCCCATGATAGGACGAAACGGCCGTCCAGTGCTTCTAGGTTTTTCATGAGTCGTGAAAATACTGAAATCTCCACAAAACCCCTTCTAATGTAGAAGCATTAATTATAACCAATGGTTTGAAATATTAAATGGTATGACACAAAATCAGTCCCAATAGCTCATGTATATTCTATTATTTATTTTGACATACTTATACTTTGTATTCCGTTGCCTTATTCTCTTTCAAATTACTTTGTCCATGCCTCATCTTTTCTACTATCAATAATACTGGTTCTACCACTCTGATATTTATATTGATATTTTTGTCTAACTGTATGGATGTATAATACTGAACATGAACACGAGTGAGGACAATCGAATGTAGTTGAGCACAAAATTACAGACTATCTCACTAAAATCTGATAATCATAAAATAAATAGTTAATTTGTAAACTATCAATTAATTGTCTCAATCTTGACTGTTCCTTCTGTAAATAGCAGTCCATCTTCTCTGATTTTATTGTTCATGCATTTTCATAACAATTGCGTTTCGTTCCTATTCTTTCCTTATCGATCTTCTAGTGAAATACATCCTATGCCTGACCATCACTATATACTACTTATGCGGATATAAGTAACCCACACCACAATATGATAACTTGAATCGGGAAATATATGCCAGGTTCTGCGTTTCTTATGACTGAGTGATGAATATTGAAATATATAATTTCTTATCGAACTGTTAACATTTTCAGTTAACATAGTAACATACTTGTAGTGCAGAGCTCATCAGGATAGGAAATCAAAAAACAATCCTCATTATTTATTAATTTAGAGATTCAAATAATGTTCAATGCATTATAAGCAAAGATGAACAGTGACTAGCAGTGGAATTCAGGACGCGCATTTCGTCCTATTGTGGACTCGTCAACTGGATATACCTGCAGCTCAGGACGAAACGCGCGTCAAACTGGATTCCACTGCTAGACACTGTCCATCTTTACTTATAATGCTTGTGAATTAAGACTATATCGAGGCAATACGCACAGTATGCACATATGCCAACAAGAGACTGATCACTTGCAGTCCTAAAAATCAATGGGAAGATTCAAACAAGCAATACCAAATGAATTCAATGTTCAATATATTTTGTAAGAATGTAAACAGTTGACTACCTAATTGGAATTTTTGTTGTGTTGGTAATAAGTCGTTGAAGATTCTAAGTGATGTAGTTCATATTGATAAAAATAAGTTTATTCTTAATTTCTTTTACATTGATCGGGAATATTCAGGTTACCTATAGGGATATTATTCAGTGATTATAAAGAGTAAATTAAAAATGGGCATTGTTGATAGCGTACCATCATAAATTTCTATCATCGATAGTATATAAAAACTTTTCGATTCTACAACCATCAAATATGTAGAAACATTTTCATGTTTCTTCTTCTTCTTAAGATATTTTATATAGTTGAGATCATGAATCAATTGAAGCTGGACCACCATGGAAAACCTGGAAGCACTGGACGACCGTGTCGTCCTATTGTGGGACTCCTCAGCAGTGCGCATCCACGATCCCTCCTCGCGAGCGAGATTCGAACCCAGGACCTACCAGTCTCGCACCAGAGCACTTAACCGATAGACCACTGAGCTGGCCGGCATCCAACGGTGTTAATGTCTAACTTCAACCGATCCACGAAATTGGTCTATCGGTTAAGTGCTCTGGCGCGAGACTGGTAGGTCCTATGTTCGAATCTCGAGAGGAGAGCTCGCGGATGTGCACTGCTGAGGAGTCCCATAATAGGACGAAACGGTCGTCCAGTACTTCCAAGTTTTCCATGGTAGTCCAGCTTCAATTGACTCATGATTTCAACTATATAAAATTTTTAAAATCTCCACGCCCTTCTATTAACATATTCACAATATGTTATGAATAATTCGAAGTATGAAATGTGAATCGAGAGTGTACACTACTCAGCAGTTTCACACTAGAACCAAATGACTATCCAGATCTCTATGTTCTTCACGAGTCAAATAAATCCCTAAAATGATATATAATTTGATTAAAATACGCTTATTTAGCTTACATCAAAATTTTTTGCATACAAACCATCACATCTGCATACTGGACAGCTATCATGACCAGTTGTTGGTCCAGTAGACCAAGTGTATATACAACCATAACAAAATTTATGCTGATTTTGACACTGATAAGCTTCTTTAAGTATCAAGTAACTAGAAAGAAATATAAAAAACGAACGATGTTAAACATATTGAGGGTAGAATATGATATAAATATCTTCAAACTGACTACATTTTTTGTAATTAGTTGGATGCATAGCAGTTTGTAATTGATCTAACTAACTAACTTACTTATTCTTGTTACTCCTCGGTGAGGAGCATAGGCCACCCACCAGCATGCTCCATTCAAATCTGTCATGAACAATCCTTTCCAGTTCTCTCCAGTTACTATCCATCTTCTTCATGTCTACTTCCGATTCCCGGAGCAGTGGGTTATTTGGACTCTCTCTTTTCCTTTCAGGATTTCAAGTGAGATCTTGCATCGTGATGCAGTTCAATGATTTCCTCAATGTGTGTCCTATCCACTTCTAGCGTCTTTTTCTAATTTACTCTTCGAATGGGAGTTGGTTTGTTCTCTCCCACAGAAGGCTGTAGCTGATGATATCCGGTCAACGGACATTGCGTATCTTCAGTAGACAATTGCTTATAAATACTTATACTTCTTTAGTGATGGTTGTAGTAGCTGTCTACATTTCAGTTCCAAACAGTTGAACTGTCTAGACGTTCGCATTGAAGATTCTCACTTTGATGTTGGTTGAGAGTTGTTTTGAGTTCCATATGATCTGCAACTGTAGGAATGCTGCCCTCTGCAAATCCTCGCCTTTACATCTGCATCGGATTCTCCTCGTTCATCGATTGTGCTGTCCAGGTACGTGAAAGTGTCCACATCTTTCAGAGTTTCTCCATCAAGTGTGATTGTGTTGGTGTTCTCTGTGTTGTATTTGAGGGTCTTGGTTTTTCCTTTATGTACGTCGAGACCTACTGATACAGAGACCTCTGCTATACTAGTTGTCTTCATCTGTATTTGTTCGTATGTATGGGATAGAAGAGCTAAGTTATTTGCAGAGTCCAAATTGTCTAGGTGAATGAAAGATGTCTTTTTTATTCTGTGCTTCCCCTCAAATCTGGAGGTCTTCATAATCCATTCAACCACCAGGAGAAAGTAGCCTTGTCTGATTCCTGTCCTCACTTGGAATGCATTTGTTAGTTTCCCTCCATGCACGACTTTGCAGTGTAGTCCGTCGTATGAATTCCGGATGATGTTGATGATTTTCTCAGGTACACTATAGTGTCGAAGAAGGTTCCGTAAGGTTCTGTTCACGTTGTCAAACGTCTACCCATAATCAAAGGAGTTGATGTATATTGACGATTTCCATTCAGTTGATTGTCAAACGATGATTATGTTTTCACTAAGCTATTTTAATGATATCCTAATTATAAAACCGTGAGTCTTGTTCGTTGTTTTTTAGTCAAAGTAACTGTAATCAGAATTATTCATATCATTACTAATGTGAGAATCTTACAAGATCGATTGGGAACTTTGTTCAAGGACTTAATGGTTCAACATCAATAAGTGACCTTAGTTAAATAACTGTTGAAAACTATGGAGTACTGATTAGCTGTTTTATCTGAAAATATTACAAATTGACTGAAGTTAGAAATGTAAACCGCTGGATACCAATTGAATGGTTTAGAGGCTAATCGCTCGACAAGAGATATGCAAGGCTGCGAGTTTTACCCCTAGTTGGTTCTAGATGGGAATCTCTGAAGTGTTCCATATTGAGGTCAAACAGTTGACCAGAGCGTCTTGAATCTTGATAGTTGTTTAATCAAAGTCGTTCCGTGACTTCATAAGGAAAATCGGAATCGGAATTGAACGTTGAGAGTAATGAAGTGGATTTTAGTTTTTCTGAGTAGTGTCTGGATGCAACTTTTGTATACCGTTAGGTTGTTACTGGTGTAATTTACTATTTGACTGCCATGACTTGACATTTTGTATGACGGTGTTTCCAACTTTTCTGTGCTCATTCTAGCTGATAGGACATTCAGGAATAAAGAATTTTTTACAAATGTTTCCTCTTTTGTAAAGCCGATCTCATCAAACATGTTAACCGATGAATATTTTCGATTTAGTCTTTATTTAAAGTAGACATTTTGTCTTCTCTCTAAAGTACCCGAAATCTTTGATTTGGACATCGGTCAAACCTTAGTCTCCAGGCTTTACATCATAGCTTCTGCATTTAATCCTGAATATAGCATGTAAGAGATATGATTTAAGAAATTTATGTAAATTGAATAAAACAGAGATTTATAACAATTATCCTAAATCGAACACAATTTAAACATCATGAAAATTCTATAATCGTACCATAGGACTTACAAGATGATTTGAAGGTCTAGACTTGTTGGGATTTTTATGATAATACTTTTTGATGATTAGATTATTATTCTAAACTATTTGTGTTCAGTTCAAATCGTTGTAAACTGTTGTCACTCACTTTTTTTAAATGTATAGAAGAGTGTTTTTTCTCTTTTAAACAGAACGTTACATATTGATGGAAGTCTGCTTAAATGATTTTCTCTTTAAGTGTACGTTAATCAAATAACCTTTAAAACCACTAGTCACTGCTTCCCACTGGAACTCCAGGACATGTATCTAGAAGTCAGTCACTAGTGAGCATATGATTATAATCAGAAGGGGTTTTGTGGAGATTTCAGTATTTTTCATAGTTGAAATCATGAGTCAATTGAAGCTAGAACACCGTGGAAAACGTGGAAGAACTGGACGGTGAACTAGTCCTATTATGGGACTCCTCAGCAGTGCGCATCCACGATTCCACCTCACGACATTCGAACCCAGGACCTACCAGTCTCGCACCAGAGCACTTAACCGATACACCACTGATCTGGCAGGCATCCAACGGTGTTAATGTTTATCTCCAAACAATCCACGAAGTTTGAACAACCGTTCACCAATTGTCTTCAATGAGTTGTTATCTAACAACAGACGTGGTTGAACTCCACTGGTCACTGCTTCCCACTCATGATTTCAACTACGAAAATACTGAAATCTTCACGAAACCTCTTCTGATTATAACCTTTAACACTTAAATTCTTAATGATATGAATTATTCAGTTGTTGATATGTTAAATGAAATTTAATCAGTCTTAGTTGACATGTGTGCATTCTGTGTGAATTACTATGGTATAGACAGTATGAATCAAGTTTACATAGAATAGATGGAATGTAACTACTACCAATAGAACATACAGAACGCTCATTTCGTCATACATAGGATCAATCAGTTGGATGTATATGCATCCCAAATTAAATGTCAACAATGGGATGCTTGTTACAAACTCTTACAAATTAATACCTAAATTGATACCTATTGTACAAGTGATTGGCAATCTGTACTCATTAGCTTAGTGTATAACACGTTAATGTTTCTAGTGACAGGTACTTGATTCGTATGTTGGATTGAGTATGCACTCTGAAATTCATGTACATCCATCTGACTAATTCTAGATAAGACGAAAGGTACGTCACAAATTCTAATTAAAGCCACATAAAATCTATTTTGTACAAATCTTCAACAGTCTTCGCAGTTAATTTCATAAGTAGATCATTAATACACTAGTAATACCATCAAGGTTTCCATGCTAAAACATCACCAGTCAAGATTCACAACATCAACGACTATTTCACAGTGTGGTTACTTATATATCTTCAAGTAGTATGATATTTTCTAATTAAATAACGAATACACGATATAATTTTAATCTTTATTTATTATTATCAGAAGGGGTTTTGTGGATATTATAGTAATTTTGATAGTTGAGATCATGAACCAATTGAAGCTAGACCTCCACGAAGAACCTGGAAGCACTTGACGGCCGTTTCATCCTAGTCTAAAACTCCTCAGCAGTGCGCATCCACGGTCCAGCCCCTCGAGATTCGAACCCAGGACCTATCAGTTTCGCGCGCGAGCGCTCAACCTCTAGATTTCGAGAGGCGGCATCGTGGATGTGCGCTGCTGAGGCATGCCAAAATAGGACGAAACAGTCGTCCAGTGCTTCCAGGTTTTCCATTGTAATCTAGTTTCAATTGATTCATGATCTCAACTATCAAAATTACTAACATCTCCACAAAGCCCCTTCCTATAATGATCATATGTTCACTAGTAACTGGCTTCAAGTGGTATTTCCTGGATTTCTAGTGAGAAGTACTGAGCAGTGAAGTTCAACCAGGTCAGTTGTGAGATAGTAACTCACTGAAGACATTGGTGGATGTATCGCTCAATTTTATGGATCGGTTGAAGTTAGACATTAACATCTTTATTTATCAGTTCAAGAGTTTTGTGAGGATTGTTCATTTATGAAATTAGTTTACACTACTCACTAACTTCATCTAGATGGTTGTATAAATGTTACAAATTATTATAGGGTATAGTCTTTATAAAATACTTGTAGGGAATTTTTCTTAACCTAATGATTTCGTTAAGTCTTTCGGGAATATGTTATGCAACATTTATATGATATTCTGGAAAATTAACAAAAAAAGGTAACCAGTAGTCCAAATGTTTCCAGTATTTACTACTTATAACAATATAGTATATATTGTTAGTTAGATAATACATTTATAGATGGACATAACATGTTGTGAAAATATAATCAGTATTTCTTTTTTGAATAATTGGTTGTTTGAGTGCAAATTATTCAAGCATGACTGAGGGTAACTTTTGTGTACCCTTAAAGTTACAATACTTTTATATGGTTGTGTAATAGGTATGTTGAAAATGGCCAATGAATACAAAGTTATTTTAAAGTTTATATTGTTAAATCTTTGGATATAAAGTATCATAAGGTTAAATTGAATAAATCAATAGGGACTCTCTGAAAGTTATATATTATTAAATGATGTATTTGATAAAAGTCTGACTAAAATATTGAGTAAGATAAGTCATTATGCATATATGAATTTATAAGTAAAATAAAACAGAGAAGCAATCGCCATTTAGTAGTCAATGTCGGTATTCTCTACAAACTTTTATATTAATAGTCATCATGTGATCACTAAATACGGATGTCAAGAGATAATTCTGAAATTCTAGCGACAAGCTGTGAGGATGGTCCACAGGTGAAGTCGAGGA